CTTAAATTGTACTCAGCCTTACTCGTCGAAATTGCATTTTTAGTACTAGCAAGAATTAAATTAAAGAGCTCTACAGTTCAATTCTTACTAGTCGCAATTACAATTAGAGAGCTCTACAAAATAATTTTTACTTGTCATATGTCTCCATTGACTTCCATTCTTTTTTAATTACAGAGCTCTATAATTGCATTGTTACTAAGAATGCAATTAGAGACCTCTCTGCATATGATTATAAGGTTTTGATTGTACACTTTATTATTCGTTTTTGTTTAATGAATGTATAAAATAATTAAATAACAGATTTTTCTTATTTAATCATTTTAATCAAAAATAAATGCATGAACAAAAATAAAAAATAAAATATGTAATCTTTGAGGATGTAATGTGGGAAATATGCTTTAAAGCAGCCCTACGCCTGTAAGTGTTTTATATAAACGTGTCTTGATTGCTAATCCACATCTGATGACGATTATTAGGATAAATGTTCAGGGCCTGTGTTCATAAAGAACACATTCAAATTCAAATTTAGTGCAAAGAGTAGCTCCTAGTGACAAAATTCTAAGAAATTCTTAGAAATGTGGGCGTTTACTCTTAAAATTAAAGAAAAAATCCTAGTAAAGAAAAAAGTCATTCAGAAGGAATCTTAACCCTTAAAAGAGGTCCTATGGTCAAGTACGGATGAGGACTTTTAAGAGGCTTAAGCAGAGGAGAAAATGACAGAACGATGAAGAGGGAGAAGAAATGTGATGCAGACAATGGATGATCACACAATTACATTTACAGCACTTTCAGAACCTCTTATTGTGTCGCAGTTCATTGTTTCCACTGGACATTCCCACCTTGCAGGCTCAAAAAGCTTCAGTTTTGAATAAAGCAGGCTTCCCTGGTGCGCACAAGCAGGGCAATGAACTGTTAATAATTTGCGCTATAAGCTCCCATGTCTGCTTCTTGCTCCATGTTGTGTGACCCGGCCCGAATTTTCCTTCATTGATGGCCCAGTGTTCATCCACTAACTGGGCTAACAGTTAACATGGTTCTTCTGGTTAGTAGGGCTTTCTCGTCTTTCTTTTTTTTTTTACTCCATGTTTGATTTTAAAACCAACATTCAAACCACCACTTAATATAATAATAATATAAAATATAAATAGACATCAATCAGTGTTGGAAAGAGTGGAACAATTTTTATCATTCTAAGCCAATCACCTAAGGAAATTAACAGCATGATATAGGCTATATATATAGTGTGTGTGTGTGTGTGTGTGTGTGTGTGTGTGTGTGAGAGAGAGAGAGAGAGAGAGAGAGAGAGAGAGAGAGAGAGAGAGTAAATTCTATTAAAATTGCTCTTTTTTTCCTTCTTGGACAACCAACCAATCACAGTCTTCAAAAGATTGTGGCCTACATAGCAACAGGGTCAGCCCCGCCTCCTCACTAAGATGAAAGTTTTTATCTTTTGCTTACTCTGAGTTGCTCTCAGATTGTCCCGAATCGCTCTTAAGCTAAGACTCCTAAGTAAAAGTTTGTAAGCTAAATTAAGAGTTTTCTAACCCTTGGCGTAATTTGCCATGGGTTTAGAGTGTTATTTCGCGACTAAAGACTCTTTAGACCAGTTTATTTTAGATTGTATGTTTCAGTTTCCACCAATGCGCTAATGGCGTCATCTTGTGGCAAACAGAAAATGGCTATATATTTGCCTAGTAGTCCAGTCATTTAATTAAAAAAAAAGGTTGAACAAATTGCAACAGAAGCAAACTCAACTGATTTTGCATCCTCAATATGTCCTGAGTAAGGAAAAAATGCCCCGAAGAATCCCATTAGGGGAACGTTTAGAAAAATACCCAAATTCATTCTCTTTCTCACGTGAAAAGGGTAAAAAAAAATTGAAATTGTTTGTTAACGTGGACAAACGGTGCATAATCTAATTACATATGTGCTAATTTGCATAAATAATACCAAAACAGATCTAAACATTGGGTATAGCAGGTGAAAATGTCTTGTAGAATTTTGTTGACATATAACAATAAACTATTTAATATTAATGTCTGAGGTCTGAATGGAACCCATTTAGGCTTTTTCTAAACTTTCCCCTAATGGGATTCTTCTGGGCTTTTTTTTTCCTTACTCGGGACATATTGAGGATACAAAATCAGTTGAGTTTGCTTCTTTTGCAATTTCTTCAAGGTTGACCCCCATTTTGGCTTAAAAGGTGTGAAAATGCTGTTTAAAGGGGTATCACATATATGCTTTACATTTCCATGTGTTATACTTATGGAACATGGAGATTTGCTTTTAAAGAGCAATGTATGTATAATGCTTGTGCTACTTTGGAACTATGCTTTTAAAGAACAATGTGGGTGGCTCTTAAAAGAGCCGTTGTGTTATGCAGATGCTGGGTCGGTTTATGGCTGGACCTGCCAAGGAACAGCGCCCTCTTCACTGAAATAAGAGGCGAAGTTGCCTCTCACTCTCAAGGCCTCCTGTGTGGTGTTGTTAGCAGACATCCTGGAAACTCCCCGGAGACAACTACCATCACCAGGCCTACGGTAACTGCCTGCCCTGTGCTGTCACCTCAGGGTCATGACACGCAGGTAGTTGTGGAGAACGCAAGTGGACATTATGGCATTTAACTTCAACAAGCCCAAATTGATGGTGTTCATTGATGGGATCAAACACCACACCATCAGGGGACGCACTGATCCGGGGCATCAGGATGAATGATTAAACCACAAGGTGAGTAGTTAACATTTTTCAACTTGCTGTACTCAGCTGTTAACCTCCATTTCTGCACCTCTTCTCATTTCTGCTGTCTGCCTGCATCCCCTGATGATGCGTTTGGTGAGGGACTCTGACATGGCACATCTCCCGAAACCTGGAGGCTGTTACCCTTGGTTTGCGAAGGTCATGCCACTCAGGACAAGAGCTTTGGTCTCGTGTTGCCGCCTCAATTTTCTGAGCCGTATCTAATGTCATGTTCAGACTCTTCCTCACTACAAACAAATGTGCATTCTGTTGGAGCAAGATGGTATCCTTCTAGAGGCCAAAATGGTGCCTCATGTAGGGTGATGTATCGAGATGTTAAAGTCCCCGTGAACCGGAAGTTGCAAACGATTTTTCTCCAGTGCTGTGACGTATTTCCAAGTGAAACGGAATATTGAACAGAGGGCAGGGTTTTACTCTAGCGCTCCTCCTCTCCATCTCTCGCTCATAGCAAACTAACGGTTTGAGGGGAGTGGTTAAGCGTAATTTTAGGCCCCAGGTGAGGAAGAAGAGAGGGGTGATCATGTCAGTGTTTGAGCGGGAGCTATTAAGCACACTCCAGGAGGCTCCTAATATGGAGCCGACACCACCTCCTCCTCCTCAGTTCTGTCCACTGCAGATGAGGATGAGATTTTTTTTTTTTTTTTATCCTCTTGCCCGCCATGCGACGGATGAGTTTGGCCGAGAGGGCCGAGGTGAAATTTAAAATCTATAGTTTAGTTTATGAGGCGGATTTGGAGGGAAGGGAGTAATTTTCTTTAAAATGTTATTTATGTTCATGTTTGTGTTGTACATTATACATATTTATTAAATTAAGTTTATTTTGTTCAATAAAGAAATATTTTGTTCAATGAGTTAATATTTTATCCAATAAGTCCATATAGAATGTTGTTTGGAGGAATACTGTTGATGCCCACTTAAAAAAACAACAAAAAAAAAAAAACATCAGTGGTAAAACTAATAACTAAACCAAAGTTAATGAAAAAAAAGATAACTGACAATATATGTATTGTATTCATGGAATGAGGAGTTTAATGACAGGTTGAGTTAGAACAGGTGAGTTGTCACAAGGGGTCAGGGGAGGTGTCTAGTAGTGTAACATCCCTGTGAAATGTTTATTTAGTGTGGTTCAGGCTAAAATAGTCCAGTCATTTTATGAAAAAAGGTTGAACAAATTGCAACAGAAGCAAACTCAACTGATTTTGTATCCTCAATATGTCCTGAGTAAGGTAAAAAAAAAAAAAAAAAAAGCCCAGAAGAATCCCATTAGGGGACCGTTTTCGAAAAGACCCAAATATATCCCATTCAATTTTAACCTTTAGATATCATCATGAAAATCAGTGAGTTGATTACTTACATCAAGACAAAAAAAAAATGTATTATACGTTTTTTGAAATTGTTTGTAAACATGGACAAACGGTGCATAATATAGGCTAATTCCGTATTAGCCAATTTGCATAAATACCCAAACAGATCTAAACATTGGGTATAGCAGGTGAAAAAGTTTTTTTGAATCTTGTTGACATATAACAGTAAAAGACTTAATGTTAAGGTCTGAATGGAACCCATTTAGGCTACCCATGAACATTAAAGGGTTAATTCACCCAAAAATGAAAATTCTGTCAGTATTTACTCACCGTCATGTTGTTCCAAACCTCTATCTGTTTGTTTGTTCAAATCAAACAGATCTCATTCCCAGAGATCTGTATGATTAAAACATTATTCCAGATATCTTCCTTTGTGTTCAGCAGAACAAATAAACACATAGAGGTTTGGAACAACATGAGGGTGAGTAAATACTGACAGAATTTTCATTTTTGGGTGAACTAACCTTTAATACAGGAAGAAGTACTTTAGAAACCAGCCTTTAGTTTATTTATTATTATGGGGTTACGATCGCGAGCCAAGCACGCGCGCGCGCGCGTGTGTGTGTGTAAGCGATCGCGAGTGAGCGATCAGGAGAGAGAGTGTGGCACATCAAGATGCTGATTAGACAGCATGATTATTTTACATGCTGGCCACAATAAAGGCCACTCTAAAATAATTCATGAAATGTTTATTGAATTATTGCATAGTCATTTAATTTAATCACAATTAAGCATTAAGTTTAAGAATAGAAGAGAAAAATTCATCTTACCTTGCCTAACCTATTGTATATAAATATACACGTATATAATCAGGCATTTGATTGAGAAACACTGATTGAAAATACTTTATTTTTTACAGTCTATGGTTACGGCACGTCATTGGCTGTTTTCAGCCGCGCGTGCATGCACCCTCGTCCAATGGGAGCGCTCGACACTGCCTTGAGTGACTCTCCTCCGAGCAGAAGATCATGCGTGCAGCGGGTAAGCAAAAGCTCTCCATCAAAACAACATCCGTGCAAACACAATACACAACTTTACAACTGAACTCGCTGCTTAAATATTCTATACTCCCGAAGCATTAGGAACCTGGTGCGTTAAATAGAAATGCAGTAGTTAGCCTTTTATTGTCAGCTTTGCTTTTGCTTTTAGCATTGTTAGCATGTTGTTATTGAATGGGGTTTATAAACCGAGACAGTGCTATGTTATCAGAAACCCAACCATTGTGTGCGACACCAACGGCTTTTGGATGTTTTCGAAGCTTGTGAAGGATTTGCTTAAAGTTCTTGCGTGAAAATGAAATCTCTTCTGATTAATTTACAGGGGAAAGATGCTCCCTCAAGAACAAATTCTGTTTATTTGATTGTTATTGAGAGTTTATCATGTAACGTTACTGTCTGGGGAAATGGAAACATTGGTCCGTTTGGACAGACCCTTATCTTCTTGTCCCATTATTAAAAACACCGTGTACTAAAGGCATGAGGTGAATTATGAAAAGAAGATTGTGTTTATGCTGAGTTTACAGAGTCGTAGATACTATTTGCATGAAGTGTAAATGGCAAAAAATATAGTCTAGTTTATTCTGCGAGTAGGGGCACTTACAGCCACACAAAATTTGTAAATGTAGTCATATGCTATTTGTACTGTGTGTACATTTTCTGAAATTGAGTGTTACACAGATTGTCTCCACAGTCTGTACTTGTTGATGCTACACTGGATCTTAATGTGTTGAGAAATGATGATATTACAACTTATGCTATTACATGTCAGTATTTGTTTATTTAGTCTGCTTACGTTACTTATTTGTGAAAAAAGTAAGACAGTATAATATTATAAACTAACACTGATGCAATTCATTCATTTTTTTTAGTAGCCGACTAGTTGTGTAATAATATGGGTTGGGGTCCTGATCCACTATTTATTTCATAATTGTTGTTTTTTTTGTAATGTTGCACCACAACAGATGCTGATGATCTGAGTGAATGATCCTTAATAAATAAGAAACATGGTAAGTCATTCTATATGTTTATGCTTGTATTAGGCTATCACATATGATCATTTCACCTGCTTCTGTCATGCGGTAGACCTCGCTGATACTCACTCACTCGCTCATACAAACTCACTCACACAAACACACTGACTCTCTCACGTACTCAGTCATTGACTCGCTCACTGACACACTGAAACTCACTCAGTGTCTTCTGTCGATCACAGATCCGGATCGCTGCTCTGAATGCGGCGTCTCAGGCTGCGGATGAGTATGAAGACTCATTCAGAAGCACTAAGCCAAGTCAAACAAAGGAAGCCCAGGTGAGTCAGATGCTTTCAAAGGTTCATCCTAAGTGACTTTTATCTTTCTCTGGACCATTTTGTGTTGTGCTAAACCTGTAAAGCCTGACATATGAAATAATAATCAGAATGGAAGTTTGTTTCCATCTTAACAATTCTGGTATGCTATAGTGAGTCTATGGAGCTCAAACTCAGCTCAATTTTATGCAGAGAAAAATGTGTAATTTGGTGCAGATGCTGATATTTATAAGGCCAAAAAAAGATGAAATTCAGATGCTTGATTGTAAATCAATTAGATCTTTTTAATAAACTACTGACATAAAACGCAGATAAATATCAGTCGTCACTCTATATCTGCCAATAGAGGTCGACCGATTCATCGATCTTGCCGATATATCGGTACCGATAGTTGATTGGTGGAACTATCGTTATCGGCAAAAATCCAAACCGATAGTTTGTACGGGTTGCGTCTGTTGCTGACCCTATGGATTTATATGAAATGGTAACACTTTACAATAAGATTCAATTTTTAGCCTTTTACTAAGGTTAAGAAGTGTTGTGGAAGTATTATTCACTATTTGTTAATTTCAACATTTAGTAATACATTTTAAATTAAGTTTTAATTTTAATTTGATCTGTTATTACCTTAGCTAATGTACTATAAACTAACATGAACGATCAAGATACAATTGTATTGCTTAAATAATAATGCATGCAGTAAAACTGTATATTGAACAATGCATAGTTCATGAAAGCTGTATTACATCCTTGTTAACAAATGGGACTTACAAAGTGTTACCTATTAAATTTACAAATGTTCCTACGTTATAGCTAAAGAAACCTGTAATATTTTAATGTTTAAATTATTTTCTGTAGAGTTCGTTCTGTAGAAGTTCTCATTTTTATATATTTATTTAATTTAGCACATTTCAGTTCAGCACTGTTTTACTTGGAGTGTTATGTTTGTTTTTAATCCAGTATCAAATATCGGTTGAATAATCGGTTATCGGCATGCATGTTCAAACCCGAATATCGGTATCGGTAAAATCCAATATCGGTCGACATCTATCTGCCAATAATATGTCTCGGTAAGAAGATATTTAAGTGCTTAGTTTTATAATTGAAGCTCTGTAGTTTTTGAAACGTATAGTGCGATGGATGGAATGCAATGAAGTTTGAGATTTGAGACTCACATTTGAACATTAATAAAAAAAACTTTTTTTTCCACTTTCTTCAGTCCAGTAAGTGTTCATCTTAGAATATAATTGCTACATTTACTTTATAATAATCAGTAAAGATTTTACAGCAAAAAGACACATGATCCACAATCTGAAGGTAGATGTTTGTACAATAATATTTAAAGGTCTTTTACTTGATAAAACAGTCTAAACTCCCAATCAGACGACAGAAGACGTATGGTAGATCGTTTTTTCAGGAAAGTTTTGATCTTGTTGATCATTTAGAGACTGTAGAAATGTACGATCACATATGAGACTGCAGGCTTTATAGGATTAAGAAAAAATTAAATAGTTGAATCCAGTAAAACCATTTCCCTTCTCATGTGTATTGCAGGAGGCAGAAGCGTTTGCACTGTATCATAAAGCTCTGGATCTGCAGAAACATGACAAGATTGACGAGTCTGCCAAAGCCTACCATGACCTGCTCAAGACCCCACTGCTCAAAGAGGTTACCACGAGATCCAGAGGCTCTTTTCATTTGTGCTTGATTTGGACACCAGTGTTTGTATATTTTGCAAAGGCAGTTTTGTGACCAAATTGTGGTGACTGCTTTTTTTCACGCACCAGGCCGTGGCGTCAGAAGATGAGAAAGTGGGACTGAAGCACCCTGGGCTGATGTTGAAGTACTCCACCTATAAAAACCTGGCCAGTCTTGCTGTGCTCAGAGATGATCTCGACACCGCCATGGACTACTATGTAAAAGTAAATACATGTTTGAACAAATCCTTAAGGTTTGGGTGCATAATTCATCCCACATGCATATTTAGCAGTTTTTCTAGAACTACACTGTCGTTCTGTCACTTGCCCGTATACAGGCAACCTAACCTTACTTTACTATATTACTATTAAATCCTAATCTAGTCATGACAAACTATATATCATTGGAAAGGTCTAAGACTTTTAAATAGATATTTTAGGTCTGTTTTTTTCTTACAAATTATGAATGAACAGTAATATATGAATTTATGACAAGAGTGCACCTCAAAAAATCAACGTCATTACAGGAGTTTCTGACCTTTGTCACAAAAAGTCAACGCACACACTTTTAATAATTGAAACTTTGGTTTTTAGTGCTAAAATTTTACATAATTAGTATTTGTCAATAAAAAAAGATACAATTATATTTTAAAAAGTAAGGTAAGAAGTCCTCTAAAATGTATAATATATTATATATATAATTTTTTTATTATTATTATATCACATATTTTAGTAGTTATCATAAATTAGGCATCATTTGAAAGCTTACGAACTCAGCTCGTAACCGTTTTGAAATTGGACGTTGTGTTACCATAGAAACTGTATTTTTTTATTAGGCCCCTCCCCTTTTGGGCATCATCTTTCATAAACCTTTTCTAATCTTGACAAAACACATATTGTCAGAAAGGTCTGAGTCTCAATGTTCCATATTTAGTGACAGAAGTGATATTTGGATAGAAATTTATTAATTTGTTGTGGCAAAATGCATCCAATTAAATTCAATGGAATTCAATGGCATCCGGTGGCTATTTTTGGTACTACTCCTAAACAAAATCTCATGGGAACTTCAATTTTTGTGATCTCAACTTCAAATTTGGAACACAACTTGGTTAGATAATATAGCTTTCATTTTATAGTAATTTTATAGTAAAACATATTTTGTAATATATATATATATATATATATATATATATATATATATATATATATATCATATCAAAAATATATTAGTAAAGTATATTTGATTTACTGTAACTTATAACTTCCATAACTTTTTTATAGTTTAATTTTTTGAAGTGCTTTCAATTTAGTAATAATCTGCTGATTGTTTTCTTTAAAACAAGACCAAACTTAGGTCTATATTCCAAAGCATTCTTGAATTACAACCATTTAAGTTTGTATAGTGCATTTTAATGTCAATTATCAAAAAGGGGGGTGACAGGTAAAGGGTCAAAAAGGCTTTAAATTGTTGCAAGAGATTTCTATTTTAAATAAGCGCCATTAAATATGAATCAGTAGGTCTATCTTCAACTTTGATAATATTTGGCTTCAAATCATCATATTAGAATGATTTCTGAAGGATCATGTGACACTGAAGACTGGAGTAATGATGCTGAAAATACAGCTTTGATCACAGGAATTAATTGCATTTGACTATATTCAAATAGAATTGCAATAAAATTTCATAACATTGGTGGATAGCCATGTAATAAATGTTGCTTTGTTGAGCAGAAGAGACTGCTTTCAGAAAGATAAAAAAATGTGTTCTCTTTCTCTTTGGAGTCACACAGTTCATGTCAACTTGTCTTCTTGGGCTTCTCTTAGGCCGTCATGCTGGACTCCACAGATGTGAATATGTGGTTTAAAATGGGAAGGTTGGCCTTGAGGAAGGTCAGCATGCCTTTGGCCCGTCATGCGTTTGAGGTGGGCTTACGCTGTAACCCGGACCACTGGCCCTGCCTGGACAGTCTCATCACGGTCCTCTATTCTCTCAGTGACTACAGCTGTGAGTCCAGAAACCTCTGCACAATATTCACACACAATATTCCCATCATCACTGTTCGATATTTTGGTGTTTTGAATTTTAGATCCCAGCTATTGCAGTCATCACCTTTAATTTTTTTTTTGTTGACGCATCATGGCCATATTCCAGAATGACAATGTCAAGATTCATCTGAGAATTCATGAAGAATCAATTTCACACATTAATCGTGAGGATGAAACCAAAAATGTATGCACCTCTTAATGGAAATAATATTCTTACGTTTATTTCCATCAATATGTGGATCAGTTTTTGGTTTTGATTTTAAAAAGCAAGAGTCCATCTCTCTGTAAAGCTCATCCAAAGCACTTTCAATGAATTTAAGATCTGGACTCAGAGGTGAAAATGATTCTTCATGCTCCTCACAACCATTCCTTCACAATCTGAGCCAGATAATTGTTGACATTGTCATCCTGGAAAATGAACATGAGGAGTCTTCCCACGAGCTTGTTTAAGAAATGCAAAGCTACACACTCCATCAATTAGGGTTAGAAGAACTGTAGCCAAACATATAACATGACGGAAACATAATAATCACTGCAATCCATTCATAGACGCTTAAGCATTTGCCTATTTAAAAGGACACCTAAAATGTTCCTAATATTGTTTTGGGAGTCCCCAATAACAGTTTTACATTCATGCAATGACAAAAAACACTTTTGTTATCTTATAATATGCATTTATTTTTACCTATTTTGCTCACCGACTCCCAAATGATTCGTTCAACGACTCATTTTTCCAAACCCCTCCTTTACGTGATGCTAATCGGCGGTGATTGGTCAGATGACCCAGTCAGTTGTGTTTGTAAAGCAATCGTCAATAAAGGGCATGATGCAGGTTAGAGGACCCAACGAGTCAATGCATAGAAAAATAATGTAGGGACTAGATTTTCTTTAAAATATACTTATAAATACGCTACAGAAGCTTCTGGGGTCGTTTTTGAGAGAAAATTTTACTTCCGCGTCTGAAAATGCGCGTGACGCAATGAGTGGGAGAGCGGTCGATTAACACAATGGATCGCAATGACATTTCGGACGCTGAGGATTAATCTAAAGATTGAAATCAAGCTTCTATGTGTTGCATAAACTCTTAACAAAAAATTACCCCATTGTAAAAACAAACATTTAGGTAAGATCAATGTAATTAAAAAATGTCTAAATATTTATATATCTATATCTATCTTAAACATAAAATAACCTGATCCTGTTTGATCAAGCTGTGCGACTGTTCTGACTTGTCCAATTTCCAGCATCAATTTTGCATCTTGCATCAAAATCCTGTCTATTCATTGCATGCATTTAGTGTATAGTGTACCTAAAATAAAAAGACTTTTATATAGTTTGTGGCTCTTAATTTCTTTGTATTAATTAACCACTAGTAAATTTATGTCCTGTCCTGTTCTTTTTTTTTTTTTTTTTTTTTTAATAAATATAGGATTTGTATTACATCCATATTCATTATAGTTTAATCGAGAATCAAATTAGGAATCGATAATCAAAATCGAAAATCGAATTGAGAATCGAAATCGAATCGACTTGAACATGTGAATCGATACCCAGCCCTACTGAGGAAATACTCATATGACAGACTCGTATGCTAAAGAGAGCAGGGACAGGCCAGGATAATGTCAGACAGAACGGTCAGAGACAAACTGAGTTGTGGTGTGAGGAGATCCAGTGGAGAACAGAACAGGACAGGTGCTTTTAGGTGAGAGACGTGCTTGTATATATACACGCTCGCTAATGATATACACTGTGCTCACAAAACTGTACAGATTATTATGATCCTACAACAGGCCAGCAGACATTAGTATGTTTAGGGTAGATTTATACTATTAAATGTATAAAAACTATATTTGAGTATATTTCTATTGTATTAAAAGCATACAGGTACATTTTTAATAGATATTTTTCACCTGGGTTATAACATAAGCAGAAAATTAAAGATTTGAGTATTTAAACAACCAATTTTGTTTTTCAATTACAAGTTGCCTCTATTTAGGGCATGAATAAGGCTGCATTTACACTGCAGGTCTTGATGCCCAAATCCGATTTTTTTGACGACCTGTTTACATCATCTTTTAAAAGTGACCCATATCCGATTTTTGCATTCACACTATACACTAATGGATGCAGATGCAAATAAAATTATCCAGTGTTTTCTTTCCACAATATTTCAATAATTCATCGAAACATTGGTCTCGTACGGCGGAGAAAAAAAGAGGAGGCTCTAGCCACGAGCACTTAAAACGATGCCTCATATCTCGTGAAATATCTTCAAAAACGGATTTATTTCTGCATTTTCGCCTGCACTCTTCACCCCAAACACTCAAAAGACATGAAACCTCCGCATTGCTCCACTGTGTGTATCCTTTCTTCCATCGCGCCTATAATCGCGCACTTTTTAATGACGTACGACTCGTATTACCGGGGAATATCCGATTTGTCTGCTTACATGGCACACGCAAATGCACGTATCCGATTCATATCCGATTTATTACCACATATGAATGAGGCCTGAATCCGATCTGAGAGAATCAGAATCCATGCGTCTTTTTTCCTGCTTACACGTTCACTGTTCAAATCCGATCTGTGCCACATGAGAGGAAAAAATCGGATTTGGGTCACTTGAACCATGCAGTGTAAACGAGGCCCTTATCACACTATTTGATGCCATTGGTATAGTATACGACGATCAATATTCTTGCTTCGGTATCCCATGTTGAACTCCATCATATCGCCGGGATGATAATCATTTGATGTGAAGTGAACGCTACACACGACCGCGTTTTCCGAAGCCGATGCGGAAGAGAAATCCCGTCTCTTCACCTGCACAAACCGCACCAGGAACGAAAGATGGGCTATGGCACCGTCCCTTTTCTTGTAATGGAAACTTGTGGACTCGATCTTGAAGTCCTGACTGGCCGGAGTTTTTGCAACCTCCACAAACACAATAATTTACCATGACGATGATAAATTAAAATACAAAAACTACCGAAAGCACACAGCTCTCACTGAATACCAGCCGACTCTGCACTGAGCCGAGGCTGAGGCTTCCTAACGTGACGTAAAATGACACGATGTTGAAAAAAAAGCCGTTTTTACGAGCAGTCCAAGAAACGCTCACTTTGCCCTTATGTAGTTTTAAAACATTTTCAATCCTGTATTAACTTTTCATATGGTATTTTCATGTAAGGTTATCTATAAATTTCGATTTTAGTTTTTTTTTTAACCTGCAATATGCTCATTAAATGACACGAACACAGCACAAGGTTGGGCTATACTTGTGTGGTATAGTAATATAAACTCTAGCCACTGATTCTTCACATGCTCGTCCCTGGGCAGTGAAAAAAAGGTCGCTTTTGATTCGCACTTCAGAACACAGCGTCTTGTTGTCGACATGGTGTTTTCAAGTTTCCCGTGCGCAATGAGTGGGCGCGGCCAATTTGATCATTATTCGTCTTGACGTCACAACGAAAAAGAAAATGACTCGTTAAATTGACTCGGAGTCGACTCGTACTTTTGAGAGACAATAACTTTTTTTACGGTGAACTTTCATATATATAAAGCTTTGCAGGATGTTTTTGTTCACTTGGATCTATGTTACACACTACATGAAAGGTAATTTTCAAAATTCCCTAATTCCCCTTTAAATCCAAACAGTGACTTTTTTTGGGCTGGGCAGTGTGTATTGCAGTTGCACAAAATATAGCAATGTTGTTTTTTCTCTGAATATTGTGTAGCCCTAATTTATGTAATGGGGAAAACACTTCTAAAGCCAAGGCTACTGAGCAAGTTGTGAATGCTGTTTCATGTTGGTTTCCTGCCTCAGTAGCTGATGTTCTTGTCTGTCTGTCCCGCAGGCTGTTTGTACTACATCTGTAAGGCTCTGGAGAAGGACATAGGCTACAGTAAGGGCCGAGTGCTCAAAGAGAAGATCTTTGAAGAGCAGCCCTGCCTCAGACGAGACTCGATGAAGATGTTCTCCAAACTGTATGCACCTTTTGCTAATTATGTGGTCCTGTTGAAGAATAAGCTTGTTTGAGTCTGTATCTGTGTGTGTTTTGGCTGCAGGGATGTGTCAGTGCAGTATGTGGATGTAGATGAGGATGAAGCTCACAGCATTGTGGAGGAAGCGCTGGAACTGAGACGACAGAGACAGGCTAAATTCACACGGCACCCGGTGGCTGACCTGCAACTGGTTCAGCCCATCAAATACTTCACGTGAGTCCATGCCACGATTAAAGGGTTAGTTCACCCAAAAATGAAAATTAAGTCATTAATTACTCACCCCCATGCTGTACCAACCCCGTAAGACCTTCGTTCTTCTTTGGAACACAAATGAAGATATTTTTGATTAAATTTGAGAGCCGAATCACTACCACATAGACTGCCTAAGGGACTGGCTCTAGTCTTGACGGCCCAGAAAGTCAATGAAGAAAATGTGACTCTTGATGTGAAAATTCCATGTGACTACCGTGGCTCAACTATAAGTTTATCAAGTGACGAGAGTACTTTTTGTGCGAAAAAACGAACAAAAATAACGACTTTATTCGACTATTCCTTTTCTTCCTTGTTGGCCTGAAACGAGACTTCAATACGATTTCCACGCCGCATGCGCGAGAATTGCGATCTCCTTCAACTACTTCAGTTCAGTTCTCGCGCATGCGGCGTGGAAATCGTATGGAAGTCTCGTTTCAGGCCAACAAGGAAGAAAAGCAATAGTCGAATAAACTCGTTATTAGGGCCCAAGCCCTGAAAGGGCGAAGGCCCTATTGTTTTCCTTGGGATTATTATTCTTCTTCAGTATTATTATTATTTTGCTACCTTTTGGGCACTTTTGGGGCCCTTAACGTGCTCGAAAACTCTTGAAACTTTGCACACGGGTCAGAACCCGCGGCCATCAGAGCCGGGCTGAAGCTGGTACCCGGGCGTGGTAGGGCGGCTCGTCAGCGCCCCCTGGAACGGGGTCCGAACACTTGGTCCATAACTCAAACACGCTTGTATGTAATAATATGAAACTCGGTACACATGTTGATCTCATCGTTTCATCTATACCTCATACTCTTACTTTTTACCCCAGCCCAACAGGAAGTCGGCTATTGAGGTTTGTTTGTAAAACGCTCGCAATGGAATGTCATATACTCCTCCTAGAGCTTTGATCCAAATTCGACGAAACTCGGTCAGCGTGAAGTCAAGACATTGAGGATGAAAGTTTGCGAGGGGATTTTTTATATCTCGAACGGTTTGTCCGTGGCGAGGAAACGAAATCATGGCGAGAAACGTGAAACAGGAAGTGTGTTATAACTTCAGCATACATTAACTGATCTTGATGAAACTTCAGCAGTGTGTTCGCTGTAAGAGGACGATCACATGGATGTGACTATTGTGAGTCAAAGTTATAGCGCCACCAACTGGCAGCAGGAAGTGTGTCACTTTCAAAATGCTTTGATATCACCCTTTTATTTTTACCCGATTTGCTTCAAACTTCATCTGTATAATGTAAACATAGGGCAGATGTAGACCTGTGAATGGATTCTTGATATCTTTGAAACTTTTGCCGTGGCAACGCATCAAACTTTACCATTCTTTTAGGATGCTTTTGAGACTCTTAGCATGCTTTAAATTGCATGAAACTCACAGACACATCACATTTATTAGCCAGTAGACATGTGCAAAGTTTCAGAAACGGGCGTGGTGAGGGCTCAGTAGCGCCACCTTTTGACAAAAGTGGGGTTGTTAGTTTTATCTACAGTTACAAAAATCGGTATGTATATTGTACTCCTCGAGCCGGACAACTTTCTAATTGACACTCATTAGCTAGGACCCACAGAAAGTCAGATATGTTTGTTTGAATGTAGAGAAAATCTCAGAATTTTGCCAGTCTCTCAGTGTCTCTCTGTGTGAGTGAGAGGAGGGGCGCCTGTCAGGTTAATTTTAACCCTTTATTTGCTGTGTGCGACTTCTCTGGCATTTTCGGGGGCCTTAACATCCTCGAAAACTCTTGAAACTTTGCACACGGGTCAGAACCCATGGCAATCAGGGCCGGGCTGAAGCTGGTAACCGGGCGTGGCAGGGTGGCTCGACAGCGCCCCCTGGACTGGGATTCGAACATTTGTCCATAAATCAAACACACTTGCATGAATTAATATGAAACTCGGTACAATTATAGATCACATCAGGCCAAACAACTTTCGTGCTCTAAGTTTTATTACAGTTCAAATGGAAGTTATTTATGAATTATGAATTATGGGTTGTTTGAATAATTGTCCTAGGAGAAATACATCAAATCACAATGCATGTGTTTACCAATCACAACCAAACTCGGTGTGCATGAAGTCAAGACATTGAGGATGCTCAATTCCGGACGGATTTTTGATATCTCGAACGGTCTGGCCGTGGCGAGGAAATTAATTTTATGACTAAAAAAGGACACATAAAGTGTGTTATAACTTTGCTCATTTTACCTACAGTTACAAAACTTGCCACGTATATTGTTCTCGTCAAGCCGATCAACTTTCCAATTTAAAGTCATTCGCTCTGAGCAACAGAAAGTCAGATATTGTAGTTTGAATGGATTTAATTCCCCTGCGATTCTCTCTCTCTCTCTCTCTCTCTCTCTCTCTCTGTGTGTGTGTGTGGGTGTGTGTGTCTGTGTGGGGAGGGGAGGGCTGTTGTCTGTGTTTATGTGTGTGTGTGTGTGTGTGTGGCTGGCTGTGATTTTTCCTACAAGTCCTTGTCTCTAAGTCCTTGTCTTTTTGCATAACAATTTTGCATAACAATATTTTTAAATGACAAAATAGGCATATAACCCCCATCTTTTAAATGTATAGATTGCTTTAAATAAAAGTAAGATTGTATTTGTAATTGAAGTTGAATGAATTTAAAATTCATGTGCTATATTTCAATATATTTGTTTTCCTTAAGATTTTAAAACACTAACTTCATTCTTATCTGAATTACAAATATTTGTTTCTGTATAAAATAATACTCTGACTAAAAACACATTTGATGTTTTTTTTTGGTATTTTTATTTACATGTATTTATGTGTGTGTGTTTGTGTGTGTTTGTGTGTGTATAAAGTGCAGGGTTTTTTTTAGATAAAGTAGAATTTCTATAACTATGTGTTGAACTAATAAATCACTCTTGTGTGTGTTAAACACAATCTACTTAATACAGACAACTTCATTATAAAGATAAATAACAAATCCAAAAAATATATGATTATAATCTATGACAAAAAAAGCCATTACAAACTATATTATTGGAAAATACACATTGCTCTTTGTATTGTTGTAAAATATTCATGAAAAACAAGATAACAAAAATCAAAAAGATAAATTATTTTAGATATAGCCATGTTTTAAATGTATAGCAGAGATGTTAATTGAGGCAGCAACATACAAACTTTCTAGAACAACATGGACCTGGATAGCTGGTTTTTATGGAGGACAGTGAAGAGGAAGAGGGTGCAAATCAAACAGCTCATTCTCAGACTACACAGCAAACAGCTTAAGTTTTTAGTGCTTTGTTTGAGGTTTTTAGTGCTCTGTCCTATCTATTATCAACATATAATAGATGGAACAGAACAAGAAAGGCAATTAATAATCTGTCATTGCGTCACTGTATTATGATATGAAAGGCTCAGTACAGTGTGGCACAAAACGCTTATGCGCATCCCGAGTGGAGAATGATGCGCTTAAAGCCACATGGAGTTACAGCGCACAGCGCATCGAGTCCGCATTGATGCAAGCTCTACAATACACTTCTTTTTGATAGTCAAAGCGGGGGTTACGTTTTTACACGTCGTACAGAATAACCCTAAAGGCACCAAGGTGGCGGTGCCACCGGCTTTATATTAAATATAAATATAGCTGTGAGCAGCGATAAAGGGCCAAAGCCGGCGGTACCACCATCCCGGTGCCTTTGGGTAACTAAAGGCATCGGGGTTGCGGTGCCACCGGCTTGGGCCCGCAATCGCTGCTCGCAGCTATATTTTTTGTTTGTTTTCTCGCACAAAAAGTATTCTCGTCACTTGATAAACTTATAGTTGAGCCACGGTAGTCACTTGGGATATTTAAACCTTTTCTTCATTGACTTTCTGGGCCGTCAAGAGCCAGTCCCTTAGGCAGCCAATGTGTTAGTTATACAGCTCTCAAATTTAATCAAAAATATCTTTATTTGTGTTCCAAAGACGAACGAAGGTCTTACGGGGTTGGTACAGCATGGGGGTGAGTAATTAATGACTTAATTTTCATTTTTGGGTGAACTAACCCTTTAATCCACAGACTGCTGCTGGAATTCATCTTACAGTTTGTTTTTAAGAAATATCATGGGTTAATTGAATCACTTTTTTATCATAATACACAATAAAACTATCCTATTTATGTAATTTATTTATGTCTATGGACTTTTTCATTGTTTTCCTCCCTATGAGAACATGATGTTTTCAGGGCTTGACATTAACATCCGTCAAATCACCAAATGCGTGTGTTTCAGCAGTGTTATGCAACACAGTCACTCCTACTAGCCAATTTGGTGGGTCGAATTGTATATAATATAGTGCTGGGCAGCGATTAATCGCATCCAAAATAAAAGTTTGTGTTTACATAATACATGTGGGTGTACTGCGCATAATTTTTTTATATTTATAAATACAAACACATGCATGTATATATTTAATAAAATGTGTTCTATATGTATAATTTATGTATAAAATATAAATGTTTATGTGTAGTATAAATATCCATACAATATATACATGCACATTTTTCTTAAATATATATATGCATGTGTGTGTATTTATATATACAAAATAATTATACGCAGTACACACACGTATTATGTAAACACAAACTTTTATTTTGGATGCGATTAATCATTGCCCAGCACTAATATAATATATACATTTTTCAATTGTAGTCTTTTGTAAAGGCATCTGAAATAATAAATTATGTGCAATGTAGTGCTGTCAAAAATATAGATTTTTTTTTATGCATATTGAAACTGAAATGTCTGAGACGATTCCAATACTCATTTTCCGCAAGACAGACACACGATACCAGCTGCGCTTTCACGTTTTCTCTCTTTCATCTCTCCGACAGCGAGTTGCACACCAACCTTGCCTCACTCACTCGATTCATTTGCTGTGAATGAATATTGGTGTTACAGGGCTTGAATTTCAGCGTGGAATTACGCGTATTTTACTCATTCCAGCAGATTTTGTGCTCTAACACACAAAGCGTGCACATAAACTCGGCTCTCAGTAATAAACTGAGCTCTTTTTCACTGCTTTTTGCACTAAAACAATCAAATACACTCAAAATAATGTCAAAATGCCAGTCTTCATGAGTATTCACGTAAACTTGTAACGTCAGGGTAACACTTTATTTGAAGGGGTGTGCATAAGACTGACATGACACTGTCATAAACTTGACATAACACCTGTCATGAACATGGAGTCTTTATGAATGTTTATGACTGTTTGCATTAAAAGTGTCATAATTTACCGAATGACACTTAATGACAAGTTGACATTGTTTAAAATGTCTTTGTTATGACAACTTGACATTAACCAAGAAATCATAACCTGTCAACCTGTCACAAATATGTCATAACAAGTCTAATTATCAAACTTAAAGAAGTTATTTAGCTTTGTGCTAACATTACATTACCCTATCATATGTTATGGTTGGTTTAACTTTGGTTGTCATGACACCATTATAACTGTGACATAAATATTTTACTTGTCCTCAAGTAAAGTGGAACACATTGTACTAGTTATAAAGATGGCATTAAGGGTTAAAATGCTTTAACAACAGTGTCATTTATATTTCCCCTTACCTCAAGTAAAGTGGAACACATTGGACTAGTTATGATTTCTTGGTTAATGTCAGGTTGTCATAACAAAGACATTTCTATCTTTGTTAATGTCAAGTTGTCATAACAAAGACATTTTAAACAATGTCAACTTTGCATTGAAAGTGTCATCATTTACCGAATGACACTTAATGACAACAGTCATAAACATGCATAAAGACTCTATCATGTTCATGACAGGTGTTATGTCATGTTTATGACAGTGTCATGTCAGTCTTATGCACACCCCTTTAAATAAAGTGTTACCAAAGTCAGTAATGTTTTTAACAGTTGAGCGCATGTGTAAACGCAGGTCTTAAAGTGACAGCAGCCTAATATTCTTACTGCCAAATTATGAGATAATATTAAAAATATCCATTGGACAGTTTTTGGTAACGCTTCCTTTTACAGTCCAGTTACCCATGTAAATACTATGTACTTATTTTAGTAACTACAATTACTGGGTAATAACTAGTACTAACCCTGAACCTACCCCTGTTCCACGTACTTACCTTAAATTAGCCAGTACTTTCTAGGTAAATACACTGTAAGTACTGTACTGTAAAAGGAAGCGTTACCCAGTTTTTCCTATGGTGTCAAAATTGTGGCCAGTGAAATTGCTGAATGAATGATGTAAACAGTTGTGCTGCAAAAACGTACTGACCCTAAACTTTTGAACAGTTGTTTGTATCGCCCACCACTAGTTACAGCTCGAAATGCATTCTTCAGTTGTTTTATTTGATTTTATTTAAAAATATTAGGGCTGTGCAAAAATTAATTGCGATTAATCGCATCCAAAATAAAAGTCTGTGTTTACATAATATATTTGTGTGTGCTGTTTATAATTATGTTGTATATATAAATACACACACATGCATGTATATATTTAAGAAAATGTGTTATTCATATATAAAATATTTATATTTATATAATATAGATTATGTATTTATAAATATATAAAGAATTTAAGCGCAAATAATTCTTAAATATATACATGCATGCATAGGTATTTATATATACAAAATAATTATATACAGCACACACAAATATATTATGTAAACACAGACTTTTATTTTGGATGCGATTAATCGCAATTAACTTTTGCACAGCCCTAAAAAATATATATTCTTCTCTACTCAAAAAAGGCCGCTGACGCACTTAATTATTATTTCTCTGTGTGATGTATTGTTATCCGTGTAGATGGAAGAGTGTGGGGGAGAGTTTCTTGGCCATGTACAAACACCAGAACGCTTGCCTGGTCCCACGGCCTGACTTTGGCCGCCGAATTGATTTGTCAATGTACCGTGACCCGGAGTGCCTCCTGCAAATGCCCACCAGCACACCCGTGCCCACCCCTGCTGCTCCAGACCCTCCTCAGCCTCCCATCATCGTCATTGTACCTCAAGCCCCCCCTGCCCCTCCTCCTGTTCCCAGCAGCCCCATCTCCAGCCAACCCCCGTGCACCGAACAGCTCGTCCCACCGCTGGCTGACCCCATCGCTCCTTCAGGAGTACCACAGAGCCAGAGCATTATCGAGATCAGCACAACCACGATCACCACTACTGTTGCCAATGGAGCGGAGGATGCTGCTCTTACCACGGTTACTACTGCGGGTTAGTATAAACCCACTGTCCTGCAGAGTTTAACTCCAACCCTGATCAAACACACCTACCTGTGAGTTTCTAGTGATCCTGAAGACCTTGATTAGCTTTCTCAGGTGTGATGATTAGGGTTGGAAGTAAACTCTGCAGGACAGTGGCCCTCCTGGACCGAGCATGCATAAATGCATACATGATGCATGAACATATGAAGAGTTCAGATGCAAAAGCCTCTAAATGCCATTTGAAATTTTCTTCTTTAATGATGATTTTTATCAAACTTGTATAATTAAGTTCAGTAATTTCACTTAAATTGCATTGAGGATTACCTATTAATTATCATTTAAGTGAAATTACTGAACTTGAACATATAAGCTTGATAAAAATTATCATTAAAGAAGAAAATTTCAAATGGCACTTAGAGGCTTTTGCATCTGAACTCTTCATATACAGTCTGGGATTGAAATTAACACCACCAACCCGCCAAATGGGGGTAAAAATCAACTGTGGCGGGGAATGCTGTCAAATCACGAGCCAATTTGGCTTGTTATTTTCCTGGGGAATTTGTGTAAACCAAATCTGTGCAGATTAAGCGCAAATATTAGCCTGACTTCGTCATATTCTAGTGAGAATATGAGTCTGAAACTCCTCCGTTGGGCTTTGATTGTGAGGCGTGTCGTAACCGAACCAGGAAAAAAACCCCTCTGCACTCAATTGGATAGTCGGTAAACCTACAACCAATCAGAGCAATGCAGTAAGTCTACTCCTTTTCATACAGTTGTCAGCTACAGAACTTACTTATTTTAGAAGTTAAATAACGAGTGTTGCTTCTTTACTTACTCCTCCATGAGTGCCACCAAAGGAGAAACCACAACGACCACAGGCTTTTCATTACGTCCCATCTTCTTAGTGACCGTCAGAGCCAGCTGATAAGTTACACTTTTGCCGAATCATGCAGGAAGGACGCCAAAAATATCTTTCGATTTATCTGATTTATTTAAAATGAATGCGCTGACGATTTATTTTAACAAAAGACGCGATAGCGGAATCTATACATCTCAATTCTCCAGCTTCCGTCATCTCTGAGGGAAACCAGTTAGCGCTCTTTGATAACGTGATGATTACGTCCCTGCAGATCATCTGTCCATCATCGTATAAAGCCCGCCCTGGCAATTTGATTGGCCCGAACGTTTCTTGTCTGATCATAATTACTCCTCAATGGATCGAGTCCAGACCGAACTTCCCGACCAAAAAATGTTGTGGGCGGAGTTCGGGCTGGCATCCAGGCTACGCAAATACTGAATTCGTGAGTCACCATGATATATTAAATACAGCGTATTTCGCATATTTGGCTTACGTGAACATGCACTTGACTACAGCGTGGCGCGCTTATTCATGTGCATTAAAGCAATAGTGAAGATTTAAAAGCATTTACAGTGTTATTTTTCAACATCCTACATTTTTTGGATGTTCATTGTACTAAAACACATTTTTGGTGATGAGGAGATTTTGTTTAAAGAAGAAATGAATTTATGAAATCCGAATTTTATAATATGTATGTTGTGTCAGCTGTGACGGTTAATCTGGTTCATTTTTTGGGAGGCTAGTTGAAGTTCTGAATGGTTAATAAAAACGTAGGTGCCAAATTTGCCGGTGGTTGAAAAAGTTAATTTCAAACCCTGTATACAGTCAAACCAAAAATTATTCAGACACCACATATCATTTTTTTTTACTAGTGGGTGTAGGAAACTATAGTATATTTATGTAAGTGAGGATTGCAAAATAAAGTAAACGGTGACATATTATACCTAATAATTCTTTATACAGTGACTACCAGAAGAAATGTTCAGACACTTTGACCGGATCATGTTTTGCTGAAGTGTTTTTTCTGTAATCGCTAATGCGAGCTTTTGACACACAGACTGAACCACATGGTTGAGCTAAACTGGTATTCTCTAATTGTGTAGTTAAAATGAACAGCTGACAGATATTCAACATAATTCATTTGTGAGAGTCTAACAGAAGGACGGACAAAACCAGTGAAATATCGACTGATTTGATAACTCCGAGTTCTTATACTTTATTACCATTTTCTAAACTATAGTGAATAAACTCTGATAACGTGAGAAATATTGAAAGTGTCTGACTACATTTTGGTTTGACTGCATGTAATGTATATATTTTATATATTTCAAAAGTAACACTATGACACGGATGATGTTGACCCTACAGCTCTGGACGCTGCCTTGAGTGATAAATCGAAAAAAGGCACCAAGAGAAAACGTGTGGTAGAAGACAACATAGAGACGGCAAAGAGACGCTCTGCACGTGTCCGCAACACCAAATGCAAGAAAGAAGAGAAGATCGACTTCCAAGAGCTTCTGCTCAAATTCCTGCCTTCTAGGTGATTATTTTACTAATTATCTATTCAGGGTTTTTGTTGTACCTGCTGTGACCGTATCAAGCAAGGCTTTAAGGCTGCATTTGAAGAGTTCAGATGCAAAAGCCTCTAAGTGACATTTGAAATTTTCTTCTAAAATGATCATTTTTATCAAGCTTGTATATTTAAGTTCAGTAATTTCACTTAAATGGCAATGAAGATTACCTATTAATTTTCATTTAAGTGAAATTACTGAACTTAAATATACAAGCTTGATAAAAATGGTAAATTTAGAAGAAAATTTCAAATGGCATTTAGAGGCTTTTGCATCTGAACTCTTCATTTACACTGCAGGTCTTGATGCCCAAATCCGATTTTCTGACTTTTTGATCATCTTTTAAAAGTGACCCATATCCGATTTTTGCATTTACACTATCCACTGCTGAAACTACCAAATGCAGACGTTCTGACCCGCGAAATTAAGCAAAACAGCACGAAATTCAATGGATGCAGATGTGAATAAAATTATCCAGTGTTTTCTTTCCACAATATTTCAATAATTCATCGAAACATTGGTCTCGTACGGCGGAGAAAAAAAGAGGAGGCTCTAGCCACGAGCACTTAAAACGATGCCTCATATCTCGTGAAATGTCTTCAAAAACGGATTTATTTCTGCATTTTCGCCTGCACTCTTCACCCCAAACACTCAAAAGACATGAAACCTCCGCATTGCTCCACTGTGTGTATCCTTTCTTCCATCGCGCCTATAATCGCGCACTTTTAATGACGTACGACTCGCATTACCGGGGAATATCCGATTTGTCTGCTTACATGGCACACGCAAATGCACGTATCTGATTCATATCCGATTTATTACCACATATGAATAAGGCCTGAATCCGATCTGAGAGAATCAGAATCCATGCGTTTTTTTCCTGCTTACACGTTCACCGGTCATATCCGATCTGTGCCACATGAGAGGAAAAAATCGGATTTGGGTCACTTGAACCATGCAGTGTAAACGAGGCCTAAGAGACATTTTGTCAGACATGAGCTTTCTATTTTTGTTTCGTCACATTGAGTGAATCCTCCTGCACTCAATTGTATATTAGATCTCAAATATACATGTGCTTTAACTGCCTGTAGGGTCAATACAGCTAAAGTGAGACACCTGATTATTTATTAATCAGTGTCATTGTTTTAAAGTGCCCCTATTATAATATTTTAAAGGTTCAATTCATTTTGTTTTGGAGTCTCCTATAATAGGTTTACATGCATCCAAGGTTAAACATTTACATTTTCTCATAATATACATTGCAGTATCAGCTCTTTCCTCACAGTGTCTGAAACAGTTTAATAAAGGATTCAGTCTCTCTAAGCCCCTCCTTTCCGAGAGTTGCTCTGATTGGTCAGATGCAAACACTCATTACCTATGAATTTTAGCACCGGATTTTTCTAAACAAATGATACACAGTGATACGAACCGTAACAATGGTGTCGGTTTTACTGTATCAATTCCAGCGCATGAAATTATTAGTATTTTTTTTTTTTTTTGTAGCACAGAACATTTTTTTTAGACAACACAAACCAAACTCTTCCACTCTCAGTTACAACTACAGTGTTTGATGGTCAAAGTAGACGCTGTTCACAAGCTGCCAATGAACACCATAGACTGGCATTATGCAAAAGTATTACAAAATTACATTTGTTCATGCATGCATGAAGTAAGACTGGAATTACTGACGACTCGTTTCAGGCATTTCAGAATCTTTTTTTTTGGGAGAAAATAACTCCAATTATCATTTGCAGACCTTTTACATGAATGAACAGCTATTTTACACACTGCATGAAAGGTCATATCTAAAAAAGCATAACAGAGGCACTTTAAAAATGATGCAAAAATGCCAAGTCAAAAAAGGTCTTCCTTTTATGTTGAGCTGCTTTATTTTCAGGCTGAAAAAGTTTGAAGACGATGAAGATGAGGAGAGTCTCAGTAACATGGACTCTCATTGTAATGTCAAACCGGATTCCCAGCTGAACCGCGGCTCCGGGTCCAACTCCTCTGAGTATATCATCTCTATGGAGTCAGGTACAGACACTGAGGTTTTCGTTTCATTCATTGTTTTATTTCTTTCTGCATCTGCTTCTGCATTTTCTCTCGGTTCTCCGTGGTTCCTCAGAGCGCAAGGATGTGCATGCGTTCCTGCTGGCGAACATGCAGAACGGAGGCATCCTGGAGCTGATGATACGCTTCCTGAAGGCGGTGGGGCAGATGTTTCTGGAGGAGTGGCCAGCGGGTCTCGCTGGAGTGGTGCTGGATCTCTTCATATGCTGGAGGAAACACAGCTCTGGGCTGCCCAACCCACTGCTCAGAGACTCCAACAACCAGCACATAAAGGTGAGACATTTACTGGTTCATGCTAGTACAACTTTGAAAGATAGTCATGTAGGGGTGTGAGGGTTATTATATAACCTTGAGACCTACGGTTACAGTTGAACACCGTTATTAGAACTCTATAACCGGCAAAACAGTGTTATTAAAGGGATACTCCACTTTTTTTGGAAATAGGCACATTTTACAACCCCCTCAGAGTTAAACAGTTGAGTTTTGCCGATTTTCAGCCGATTTTCTGATATTTAGGAGAATATCAGTAACCAGACAGTTTCTGGTCTCATTGACTTCCAAAGTATCCTACTATGTAGGATACTTTTTTTTCTCCCACTGCTTGCACCTGCCTGGCAACACAACTCTATTCATCATGCCACCTGAACCTGCTGTATTTCTCCCAGTGGAGCTGCTGAGAAACAGACAGACTGAGGACTTTAATGAGTGTGCTTTTGGCAAAAACTAGGTCACAAACACACCATAAACTGAATAATTAAAAGTTTAGCTGTTATTTTCTTAAGCTAACAGGATCATTTAAAATAATTGTAAAGAAAAAAAGAAGTAATTTATTCCTGTGATGCAAAGCTGAATTTTCAGAATAATTCCTCCAGTCTTTAGTGTCACATGATCCTTCAGACATTTGAATGCTCAATAAACATCTATTATTATGTTATGTTGAAAATAGTGCTGCTTCATATTTTTACGGAAACGTGATCTTTTTTTTTCAGGATTCTTTGAATCGTTGAATACAATTTATTTGAAATAGAAATCTGATGTAACAATGTGAAAATATTTACTTTTACTTTTGCTTAATTTAATGCATCCTTGCTGAATAGAAGTATTTCTTTAAAAAAAACAACAACAACTGTAATGCATATTGCTTTCATTTCATTACAATATAGTAGATTGGCCTGATTGTTTTTTGAAGGCTCTTAATTGCATGAAATGAACTTAAACTTTCACATCATTGCTTTTTCCAACTTCAGTAGGATACGGTTAAAAATATCGATATTCGATTCCATCTTTGATAACACGAGAAAAACTGCCATATGTATATGTATGTGTGTATATATATATATACACCCCACCAATACAGATCATTTAAACTAGTGCTGTCAAACGATTAATCGCATCCCAAATAAAAGTTTGTGTTTACATAATATATGTGGGTGCACTGTGTATAATTATTTTGTATATATAAATACACACACATGCATGTATATTTAAGAAAAAAATATTATTTCTATATAAAATATTTATATTTATATATAATATAAATTATAAATGTATATACATGAAAATATTTCTTAAATATATACAAGCATGTGTGTGTATTTATATTTATACAATAATTATACACACCACACACACATATATTATGTAAACACAAACTTTTATTTTGGATGCGATTAATCGTTTGACAGCACTAATTTAAATTAAATGTACAAAAAAAAAGTAAACGGTCCGTAATAAATAACTGACTATTATTTTGAAATGTACAGTATTTCTGGATTACATACGGATTAAATTTTTCATGATTTCAACATGTAATAGATGTTTGCAGGTCTGACCACTGTACAGTACATCATCATATTACACTGCCTCTCGTCTAACAGGAAATGATGCTGATGAGTCTCTGCTGTCTGGAGCTGCAGTTGGAACAGAAGTCTATGACGAAGGGCAAGAACAGTAAGAACATACAATCAGTCAAATGTTTGTCATGTGTTTGACATCATCATTAAGTCCAGGGGTGGACTTAAGGCGGGCGTACACGGTGCGATTTTTACTGTTTTACGAGCTCGCAGATGATCGTGTGGAAATCGGTGATGGTCGCGGCTCGCAGTGTGTCAGAGGAAATGCGAGCCAAGTCGCAAAGGACAGGAGCCATCTTAGGAAATAGTCTCGATAAGTCAAATCACGAACGACGTGCTGAGTGATCTGAACTGTATGAAGTTCAGCGAACTTCTGAACTGGATGAACAACGTTCGTGGTTTGACTTATCAAGACTATTTTCTAAGATGGCTCCTGCCTGTATACGCGAAGTGAACTGTCTTCATAAAGTATCTTCTTATTAAACGGTCTGTACACTTACAAAGTTCTCAATGCTTCGGTTTGCATGTATGGACCCTCATTATGTTTCTGCGTTAGTGTGGGGCTATTTTGAGCCTTGTTAGTGGTATAAACTAGCAATTTCTGTTTTACTTAGTCAATGCCCCCATTACTAGCATTATACGCTTAACAGTTTTTAGAGATAAAACTCTTTACATTCGATTATCATGAAAACAAATCTCAGAGAACGGTTGACTAGGTACCGATGTTTTATTAGACCAAAGGTTCATTGTTCGCCGGAGTTCTCCTTTAAGAGGCGTGCGACCTCTGACATTTATAGCAATTGTAAGTCGCTTTGGATAAAAGCGTCAGCTAAATGAATAAATGTAAATGTGAACTCGCACTGTGTACGCCCGCCTTTAGTTTTTTGGGGGCGCTAAGCGATTTCTGTCATGGAGCCCTAACAGTCAACTCTCTCTTTTTTTATATATAGGCTACTTTTTTTTCTTTCTACATTTGTACATTTGTTTTCTCAATGTAAAATGAAATGCAATTGAATTCACACAAAAAAACTAAATTCACAAACTATTTACAGTTAAATAAAGTTACAATATGCAGGATTTTTGCAGTAAAATATCCAAAAAGCACTAGGCCAATGTTATATATTTTGTTTAGTTGATTACTTACAATATCCCAAATGTTTCCAGCTACTTGTAAATCGTGAGAAAATTGCGATTTTATCCGAGGAAACGGGGCGTGTGACGTCATATTTGACGGTTTCCGCCAGGTTTGACCTCGTATTGCAATAGTAACCATGGCGACAGACGTGGACAACTGGGTCGGTTATGTCCGTTATGCCTAGCAGGACGCTCACGCTGTTGTTGTTTTGTTCAAACGTTTTGGACCATGGCAGGCAGACTTTGAGACAAAAAGAAGACTAGAACGAAGATCAACATGCCGAGAGCTCCACGTCCGCGACTAACTTTCACTTGACAGAGACGCGAGTGTTGCGTGTGCTTTATTAGACAGGTGAGCAAATGTACATAAAGCTAATCAATGTTATATAGTTCAACATGATGAAAAGTTAGAATATGATCTGTATGTTGTTCTCTAATGTTAATCTAGCTTAGCCTCATACAGCCAACAAACAACCTAACTAACAACATTCAACACACTCAAATGCCGTTTAGTGTGATAGTGAAACTGTTAGAGCGCTGCGTTACCTCAAGTTTAATTCCTCTAATAAACTGGCCTGTGTGAGTAATTCAGCGTGTAGTTTGGTAGAATTAAATGTCCTTATTCCTTTATCCGCGGGACTCGCGTTGCATGTGGCGCTAGCATACGTCTAGCAATCGCGCATTGCTTCACACCACAGTCATGTTGAAAACATCACTGTATTCACTCAACCAGAAAAGATCCATCAGCTTGACGTCAAGATCCATAATTCAGCTTAATGCAGAAGATACGCCTTTGTTATTGTAAGAGGTTAGCGACCCCTGGTGGCGAAACAATCTTGCATATTTTTGATTGCACTTCTCTAACCTGCAACTGTTGTATTTTCTCAATGTAAAATTGGATTTTTATGTTTGAGCAGATGTAGTTAACATGGTTATAGACAGGCCATACAATATATGATTGAATAGATGATTTATATAGGCTTCTAGGGTTTTTTTCGGGGGCCCAAAGCGGCTGCTTACCCCAAAGTCCGCCCCTGACTTCAGGAACTCATATTCAGATATTACTTCACACACCATGAAAAGTAATCACACAAATGTCTTGTGCCTGTGTGATTTACAGTGTCTCATAGGAAGACCATGTCTGCTTCAGGAAGGGATTGTGGGGATGTGGATTCAGAGACGTGCTTTCAATCGGACATATTCCTCCTGACCATGGCCTCGTCTCAGAGAGATCTGTTTGGAGACGACTGGCTCTCCTTTGCCGTCAGAGTTCACTGGCTTAAAGCACGACACCTCGCCTTTCAGGTAAGACAGCTCAGTTATCAGAGACGCAGACATATCTTTCTATTACATAACTTATATGGTTCTTCACAAAGGTGTTGTACGCTAGTGAGACAATTTTTCCAAACAAGCCATCAGCTGGATGAATTCCTACTTAACCAACAGAACGCACTGTGTTTCTGTTAACAATATTAAATCTCCTCACCTTGAGTGTACAGTAGGAGTTCCTCAAGGCTCTGTACTTGCACCAATTCTATTTTCCCTATACATTAACGACCTCCCTACAGTATGCCAAAACACAAATATTTTAATGTATGCAGACGATGCAGTACTCTTTACACATGCAAAAACTGCCCAAGACGCCTCTCAGGCGCTTACATCGGCACTGACTTGTGTACAGGAATGGCTTACAAAATCATGTCTACTATTAAATCCCAAAAAACTGTTTGTTTAATGTTTTCTAAGCGGCAGACTGATATGACACGTTCAAATATATTTTTAAAACAAGAAGAAATACAGCTAGTAAATGAATTTAAGTATCTTGGCGTTGTTTTAGATCCCACACTATCTTTTAAAAATCATGTAAAGTGTCTATCGAAAAGTGTTAAATTTAATCTTGCAAACTTCAAATACATCAGACCATCACTATCTTGTAAAGCAGCCAGAATGTTTCTTCATTCTATGATTTTCTCGCACATTGAATATTGTTTTGTAAATTGGTCACTCACAAATGCCACAACGCTTAAACCAATTGAGTCACTTTTCAAAAGAGCCTTAAAAATATTTGACAGGAAACCGTTTTCACATCACCACTGCTTAATATTACAGAAATATAACCTACTAAGTTTTGAAAATTTTCTAAAGCTTAAATATGCCTGTGCTGTTTATAAGATCCTGCACGGTCTTGCCCCACCCCCACTGAGTGAATATATTACACAAAAAAAAACAGGGAGAGGGAAGAAGTGTCACCAGAGCTTCCATCAGGGGTGATTGTGTGGTACCGTACAGGCGTACTACATTTGGACAATATGTTCTGTCAATAAAGGGGTCAGAGATTTGGAACAAATTACCACTTGTCATTAGAGAATGTCCGACATTTCCCAGATTTAAGAATCAACTTAAACAATGGCTCAAGACACATCAAAATTGATGTCTTTCCTTTCTTTCTGTTTTTCTTTTCTTTTTTTTTTTTTTTTTTTTCTCTTTATTCTTTACAATCGAGGTATATGAATAAAGAACACTGTAGTATCGTGTAAGCGTTTGTATGTATAATAAACCCAATTTAGTATTTATTGTAATTCCAGCATGTATACATAGAATAGCACTTTACTGTATATGTGTAATTTGTCTGAAAACAGTGGTGTCTTTTGTAATTGTTACTGAATTTTAAGGTGTTCTTCAAACTGTGTAGTATTCAATTTAAACTTAAATGTTAGTTTTGTTATATGTTGTTTTGTGATGACCTGACAGGGGACTGCAGATGGAAAGTAGCCCTGGGGCTAATTCTGGCATATTTACATTACTGAAATGTTTATCAATATGCATTGTCCCTTTTAAATAAATAAATAAATAAATAAATAAATAAAATTTGATAATCTTGAGTAGAGCTGACTGAATTTCCAGGTTACACTTTTATAAATGCGTGTGATAGTATTTTTTGCACTGTTTTAGGGTGACATGGAGGAGGCGCTGGAGTGTTACGACATGTGTGTCGGTCTGCTGAAATGTCAGACGAGTGAGATGGAAAAGATCACCATCCTCCTGCCCAACCTCAGCATGGACAGTGCCATCTCTCTAGAGGAGGTACAGTACAAACCACATAAATCCCCTTTTTGAGTCGCTTCTGAGAATTCATAGAAGAGCCAGTCTTGAAGTGTCCAAGTGCGGTTTAAATATTTATTCATCGGCCAATGGAGTAGAAATAAATGTAAATGTAGAAGTAACAATACCATGCAAGAAAAGAAGTGTGCATGGACACATAACTGTATGGTGTAATCTTTCATCACCTATAGTGGCAGTGTGGCACCTATAATAGGAGATTTTGCTTGGTGTGTATTTGTGCGTTTTTGCGTACATGGGTTAAGGTTAGGTTTAGAAGTAGATTTAGGCCCCGTCCACACTACTGCGTTTTCGTTTAAAAACGGAGACCTTTTGCTACGTTTGCACCTCCCGTCCAGACTAAAACGGGAAAAACGAAGACCTAAAACGGAGATGTTTAGAAACGCTGCAGCTGCGTTTTGCGTTTTGAATATCCGGAGGGCGTTTTAGTGAAGACCGGACAAAACGGAAGAGTTTACAAACGATGACGCAGAAGCTGACGCTCGGCTCTATGATTGGGTGTCATCAGTCATGACGTGTCCTTCCCTGATTTGTCAGCCCCTGTTTAAACCGGCACACGCATGCCCAGTGTTGGTGAATGGTCACGTGGTCCGCGTTTTCAGTCGTTTTAATGTGGACTGAGATCAATTCTAATACGCAGATAAAACGCTGGTGTGGAGGACGACTCAGGATATGATGACTTTCACAATTTATTGACTCCTGTAGAGTACAAATGCACATTAATTGCCTTTTGGCTTTCTTTCACAGCACCTCTGCTTCCCTCAGCAGTGCAAAACGAGACTCGGCACTTATTGTAATTAAATTACATTACAAATACATTATTTGAACAATTACATGAGGTATTTTGCATAGTAGAGTGCACATTAATCATAGAAAGTCATTAACACCGTCCAGAAAATATTAAGCATTAAATGCAACAAATACATAAACACAGTGCATATGTTTCCTTAAAGAGAATAGTATAACAGAAACGCCCAATGGGCTGAATAAAGTTTGTGTGGGGTAACAGAAACAACAACAACAACAAAAAAAAAATTTAATGGATAACCAAAAACAAAAATGCATACCTGTAGAGTACAAATGCACATTAATTGCCTTCTGGCTTCCTTTCACAGCACCTCTGCTTCCTAAACATACAAAAATACAGCGTTTACACTATATATAAAGGGACGCTGAAAACTCCGACGATCTACATTGCTCACAGAGCGCGACCCGCGTGCCGTCGTGAAATGGCGGTTGGAAAGTGAATCTGAAAACTTCAGATTCAGCTCAAAATAACACGAGACCGCCACACATAGTGTTAATGTATTAACATTAGACGTTATACATTGAAAATAGAAAACAGTAAATTAGCTCAGCAGCACATTTTCACTCAACTTACCCTCAGCAGTGCAAAACGAGACTGAGGGAGACGGTACGCTACGGAAGCTTAGGAGGGACAGAAAGGATAGTGTGCAGGAAGGGTCATTTCCACAGGTAACCAGTCCTTCCAGAAAAACGCGGAGTTTTTTTGTGATTGTTGCGGGCAAAAATCCTTGATTACGCGGCCCGTTTTCTTTAAAAATGCGATGGAATATGCGGGATATTTATGCAATTTTATGCGATGAAATTGCGGGAACTTGCAAAAATTGCGGGAACTTGCAAAAATTGCGGGAACTTGCAAAAACTGCGGTTTGATGAAAAAGAGAAAAAAAGTGATTCCCCCAACATCCTGTTCTCACTAGGCTACTACCTTAATGTAAAGAGTCATTTCTTATTACTTTCTATGATGTAGCAAGCATACTACATCATAGAAAGTGCTGGGAATATTTAATTTCTCTCTTGTTTTATTTTTATTAAATTTTCAAAATCACAGAGTTTGATATCAAGTTCTTGACATTTCTTTTACACATTTTCTGATAAGTATAACATCTGAGAAGTAGCCTAAAACATGAAACAATAATTTAGAAAAAAAAAAAGAAAAAAAGATAGAGGGCATCACAGACATATTAAATTCCTTTAGCAGAGATACAGATCTTTTGGGCTTTTCGATTTTTTTTTTTAAATTTTAAAGACTCAAAATACATTTTAAAGGCTGTTTTGAAATGAGCAAAGTTGGGTTTTGAGTTAGGCTACTCCACTTAGTTTGATGAATATGAAATTTTCCTAATAATAGAAAAAAATCGATAACATACATTTTTCTTATAGGAAAGTCAAAATCATTTGTATGAAGATGACAAATTTAAGACAAGGTTGCAATTCATTTTAAAACCTAGAAATTGAGACATCTCATTCCAAAAGATTGAAAAATAGGGACATTCAAACAATAAGTGCACAAAGACTCTCTTTCACAATTACAAAATCAGCAATGTTTTATTTCAGACTGTAACGAGTGTAAATAAGGTGTGGCCCCTTTAAGAGCTGCGCGCTGAACTGTCTGCAGTGTGTGCGCCTCAAACACCCCATGTCGTGTGCGGGTAATTTCTGTTTGATGCTTATTCTTTTATCTTATTTTGTTAATTAAGTAACGATGTGACGGTAGAACGTGTGACAGACAGTTATACGAGTTCGATTTGTGAGATGTCAATCGCCTCCGTGAGTCTTTCTGGCCTCTGCAATAACTTCAGCTGTGAGCTATCCCATCGCGTAATTGCGTCACTTCATAACGTTCCCATGGAAACCGGAGGAAATGGCTGCTCTTGTATGAAGCAAACGCAACATTTTTCAACTTTCTGCGAAGATATATGTGACTTTTTTTTGCAACGAAAATACGAGGATTATGAAATCATGCGAGCCCCGCATATTTTGCGTGGAAATCGGCATTTTATGCGGCGAAAGTGCGGCTTATTCGAAAAAATGCGGCCCCCGCATAAATATGCGGACTTTGGCTGATTTTGCATTGAATTCAGCGATCGCATAATCGCATTTTTCTGGAGGGACTGGGTAACATTCGCAAAAATAAAAATACATAAAAATAACTCAATGAGATAAAATTCACAAATACTCAACCATTAAATGATAAATAAAAACAAAGATGCTAATTTGAAAATAAGAATTACTAAAAGTGCATTTTTAACCCCGTTACATAACCTTGACAGATTTTAAGACGGTGGTAGAAGACAATACTGTTTCCCAACTGTAGAGGGACCCTGAGAGCAAAATTTCAAAAATGTCATAATGGGGCTTTAAAATGTTCTTCACACTAAGAGAAATGTTTTTTTAAGAACTGATCACTGAAAGGTTCTTAGGAGAAACAAAATTGTTCTTCTGTGGCATTACTGTGAACCCCCCTTTATTTAAGTATACATTTGAAGGATTTAAAATATATATATATTTTTCCCCAATATCCCTTCTTGAATATGGAAATGGCAAAAAAGATTCTGGTGTCCTGGTGACTACATGAGAGATTTGCACCGATTTGTACAGTTTTATAGTTTTTTTTGAGCCTGCTTACAGAAACAAAAGACTCACCAATAAAAGCCACAATTATAATGTTCTCATTATAACTTTATGTAGCCTGTATGACAGACTTGCGCTGCACATCTTACACTGAACTGCATTTTCTTTTTGAAAGTGATTTCAATCATATTTCAAGCAATTTAAAACCATCATGGCGAACCGTGAAGTGCCTCAGCCGAAGTAAATAATCCATTATTTATCAGCTTTAATATATGTGCCAAATTTTCTTATCGGGCCGATAACGATAACATTTAAAAATGAACATAAATCATTAAAAAAACAAAACATAAAAAACATAAACAGCTAGAATATGTCTGCATTGGTCCACTTTTGCATGATATGGCCCAATTAAAAGAGTAGTTCACTTAAAAAAAAACTGCTGATAATTTATCACCCCCATGTCATCCAAGATGTCCATGTCTTTCTTTCTTCAGTCGAAAATAAATTAAGGTTTTTGATGAAAACATTCCAGGTTTTTTCTCCATATAATGGACTTCAATGCGGTCCAAACGGTTCAAGGTCCAAATGAGAGTTTCAATGCAGCTTCAAAGGGCTTTAAACGACACCAGACGATGAATAAGGGTCTTATCTAGCGAAACCAGCAGTCATTTCGAATGACTCGAAAAAAGATTTGTTTATTTTGATCGTCTGGTGTCGTTTAAAGTCCTTTGAAGCTGCACTGAAACTCTCTTTTGGACCTTGAACTGTTTGGACCCCATTGAAGTCCATTATATGGAGAAAAATCCTGGAATGTTTTCATCAAAAACCTTAATTTCTTTTCAAATGAAGAAAGAAAGACATGGACATCTTGGATGACATCGGGATGAGTAAATTATCAGCAAAAGTTTTTTTAAATAGTGCACTACTTTAAGTGTAGAAACATATCAAATGTCTTCTCCTCATTGCTCTGTTTAGATTGAGAAGAAGTTGAAGTCTCTAGAGCGATGTCAGTCTCTAGAGGAGATCCAGAGACTGTTTGACGCTGGAGACTATCAGTCTGTGGTGCGTTTACTGCAGCCCACACTGAGCTTCGGCCAGGGCTCGGCACGACTCAAACCTCTGGATTACATCAGCTCTGCTCCAGAGAGACCAGCGCAGCTGCTACTGCTGCAGGTACATCACACATTCTCCTTAAACTCACACTGTTATGCTATTTTAAACACTCCTAATGTTGTTTTGGAGGTTTACATTCATCCAAGGTCAAAAACACATTTCAGCATCACCACTATTCTCATAGTTCCTGAAACAGTTCGATAAATGATTCAGTCTCTCTATACCCTTCCTTTCTTAGAGCATGCTCTGCTCTGATTGGTCAGATGGCCTAGTCTGTTGTGATTGGTCGAACTCTTAACTCTTTCCCCGCCAAACACGGAATTTTCCGTGTTTAATGAAAAAACGCATCCCCGCCAAACACGGAATTTTCCGGGTATCCGTGTTTTAGGTGGTATACGGTAAAGAAGACCCGCGCGCTTGTCCTGAATGAGTGCGCAACTCTTTGATCAGAGAAACAGATTGCAATCGTCTCAAACAGTGGAGTAGTGAGAATGTATCAGACAGACAATGCAGAGGTATATGGCTGAAGTACTGGAGGTTAATGGACTCGGAGTCCGATCACTCTTTATTTGATAATTCTGAATCTGATCGGGACGAAGTAGTCAGTGAGAGAGATGCACATGTTGTCACAGAAAGTTCTAGCCATGGACGTGCCGCAGATAGATCGTATAATATTATGACACTATAATATTTATGTGTGTGTGCAGGCATTTATGTGTGGCTGTCTAAATATGAAGGTGTAATTGTCAAATTATTTCTCTCTTTGTGCACATTTACCACATTGTAATATGTATTTGTGTGTGTGTGTGTGTGTGTGTGTGTGTGTGTGTGTGTCTAGGCCTTTTTATTGTAATTCCAATTATTCATTATTCACAGGTAGAACACAGAGAGGCAGAAGTTTTATTGCAAAAGTTACATTTCCCTTACATCCTGGGAAATTTGATATATTTTACATTTATTTATGTTTTTAATTTATTTTGGAAAGTTTTATATATGAAGGAAACAACATCTGAATGTATTCTGCTTTTAAATGCACTTGTTTGATAAAAATACCTTTTTCTCAGTTTTTTGTCCAAAATGTTGTGTTTTTGACAAAACCTACCTCTGTTCAAGAGGCAATAAAAAAAAGAACAAATGAAGATAAAATAAAAACGTTTTTTTTGCCTAAAAGCAGAGGCTCAGATCTTTATTTTTATATATATCATCTTCATATATTCATGGAAGAAAATATTCAGCGGGGCATTAAAATTTAGCGAAAATCGTCAAAAACCCTGGCGGTGGCTGGCAACTTTTTTTTAAAACGCTGGCGGGGAAAGAGTTAAAGACCCGATATGGTCATGGAAAAGTGATTTTCCATCTTCACTTAGGGGTAAAAAGAAGTGTGGCCAGTGATATACTGTTATTGAAGTGTTATTTTATGTATTATGAGGTGTTATTCTCTTTAAAGAAAGTTACATTTATGCATTTGTCAGATGCTTTTATGCAAAGCCACTTTCATTGCATTTCAACGTGCGAAGAAGGAAAATCACTTTGCCATGAGTATACCGGCTCTTTAAGAGTTCGACCAATCACAACAGACTGGGCCATCTGACCAATCAGAACAGAGCATGCTCTAAGAAAGGAAGGGTTTAGAGAGACTGAATTATTTATCGAACTGTTTAAAAGAACTAATAAGAAAGTTATTTAAAGCAAGACAAAATGTTTTTTTTTTTTTTTTAGATTTTGCGCTTTTTAGTCTTTTTTAGACTAGTGTAAAGAAAACATCTAAAATACACATTTAAGTGTTTATTTTATTACACTTTTAATTTCAGTATTTTAATATTACAGAATAAATCTTCAAGGACATTTTAGTCCTAAACTATTTTTGGCTGCAGTCTGCCGACAGTATTTTTGGATTCATGCAGTGATAAAAAGATTTCTAGATTACAAAATATATTTTTGAGCATGAAATCATCATATTAGAGTGATTTCTGAAGGATAATGTGACACGGAAGACTGGAGTAATGATACTGAAAATCCAGCTTTGATCACAGGAGTGAATTACACTTTACTATATATTCACATAGAATTTTTTTTTTTTTTAAATTTAAATATTTCACAGTATTTACTGTATTTTGGATCAAATAAATGCAGCCTTGGTGAGCATTCAAAAGGTCTTTTAAAAACTAAAAATAATAAATGGTTAGATTTATAGTGTTTTGAAAAAAAAAAAAAAAACTATTAATTTATCATTAACAATATTGTTGTTTGATTTAATAATCATTGTTCAAAATGTTCAGACTGAACCAATAAAACATTTCAACAGGATAACTAGAATATTCACAAAATGTGTGGGTCTAGGTAAAAAATGTAGTTTTCCTGAAAACTGTTGAAATGGATTTATAGCGTTTTGGAAAAGAACTCCTCATATATTCACATAGAGAATTTTACACTTTTTGTATTTCACAGAATTTACTGTATTTTTGATCAAATAAATTTTTGGTGAGCATTCAAAGGGTCTTTCAAAAACAAATCTTCCAAAACTTTTAAATGGATTGTAAATAATATATCATGCATATAATTAGAGCCAGACCGATATTATCGGCCGATATTAGGCATTTTCCAAAATATCGGTATCGGCAGTCATAATGGCCGATAAATGAATATTTAAAAAATAAAATAAAAACAGACGAAACACGCTTCAATCATCTCTCCTTGGCCTGTTATATTAAAAATGTATGTTTTACAATTTGCAGTATGATGTTATCTATTGCTAAATTATGGCTCATCATAGACCAGTTAACCACAAAGCTAGCTAATGCCACTATCATCAGTGGAAGACCGCTAACGTTAACATTAATGAGCTTGGAAACCACAATGAACTTTTTCTACCTAAATAAAGTATTTATTACTGTATTTATAACTCGCATATCTCTAGTTACAGTTCCTGCATTGTAAAATGTAAGTTAGACTTGCGAGGAGTGAACATTTAGACATAGAGAAAAGGTATCAAACGTATCTTGTGCAGAAAAGTTAGCTTTTCTTTTACACGTGTGTGAAATCCAACAATATTTAATAAAAAAAAAAATAAATATCGGCCCATATATCGGATTTTAAAACCCAAAAATATTTGTATCGGTATCTGCCTTCAAAATCCTTTATCGGTCAGGCTCTACATATAATTAGGCATTATGAACACCTTTATCTACAACTATAAGTGTTACTGGATTGTCTCGTAAACGCAGCCGTGTTATCTGTGGATCAGCTGGATTCATGTCGGAGCTCAAAATGATAGAGCCAGCATGTTAAAAGCAGGTTATTATTGGAATAATGACTAGCTTTACTCAAAGTGTGCGATATCCCACTCGTCTTAAATGTGACAAGCTTGGCTGAACATTTCCTAAACCCTCAATTCAAGTTTTCAGACACTTAACCTGTTGACTCCACATCCGTCCCCCCAGAGTTCCCTGCTGCGACTGAAAGACTTCAGCTCCTGCTTTGAGACATCTGAAGTGTCTCTCAACGAGGCCATGCAGCACTTGAACTCTTCATTACCCAGCAGCCCCTCTGCTAAGGAGGAGTGGGTTTCCACCATCACGGCCCTGCTGAAGGGCATCGAAATCTGCATCACTGACAAGCCTGAGCTTCTCTGTCTCACGCCGCGCTCCACAAACCTGCCTCGCCTCGCCAACAACCTCATACAGGTCTGTGTGGGTTAAAGTTAGCCCATGAATTACTCTCCCTGAAGCCATCCTAGGTGTATATGACATTCTACTTCACAATGGGAGTCAATAGTGTATCAAAGTCCATCAAAGTGCATCTATCCGTGATAAAAGTGTCCCAAACGGCTCTGCGGGGGTTAATAAAGGCCTAAAAGTGTCCCAAACGGCTCTGCGGGGGTTAATAAAGGCCTAAAAGTGTCCCAAACGGCTCTGCGGGGATTAATAAAGGCCTAAAAGTGTCCCAAACGGCTCTGCGGGGATTAATAAAGGCCTAAAAGTGTCCCAAACGGCTCTGCGGGGGTTAATAAAGGCCTAAAAGTGTCCCAAACGGCTCTGCGGGGATTAATTAAGGCCTAAAAGTGTCCCAAACGGCTCTGCGGGGATTAATAAAGGCCTAAAAGTGTCCCAAACGGCTCTGCGGGGGTTAATAAAGGCCTACAAGTGTCCCAAACGGCTCTGCGGGGATTAATAAAGGCCTAAAAGTGTCCCAAACGGCTCTGCGGGGATTAATAAAGGCCTAAAAGTGTCCCAAACGGCTCTGCGGGGGTTAATAAAGGCCTAAAAGTGTCCCAAACGGCTCTGCGGGGGTTAATAAAGGCCTAAAAGTGTCCCAAACGGCTCTGCGGGGGTTAATAAAGGCCTAAAAGTGTCCCAAACGGCTCTGCGGGGGTTAATAAAGGCCTAAAAGTGTCCCAAACGGCTCTGCGGGGGTTAATAAAGGCCTAAAAGTGTCCCAAACGGCTCTGCGGGGGTTAATAAAGGCCTTCTGAAGTGATATTACTCCTTTGGTATAAGTCGACTTGCGTACTACCGTCTTCAGAAGGCCTTTATTAACCCCCGCAGAGCCTTTTGGGACACTTTTATCACGGATAGATGCACTTTGATATACCATTGACTCTCATTATGAAGCTTGGAAGCTTTTTAAATGAACTCTGATTGCATTTGTCTGAAAGAAGAATGTCATACACACCTAGGATGGCTTCCGGGTGAGTAAATCATGGGCTAATTTAAATTTTTGGGTGAACTAACCCTTTACTGGGAGTGTTTGTATCTACATGATCAGGTTTTAACTACTATGTGTGTGTGTGTGTGTGCTCCTTCTCCAGTTGATAGCCAACAGCATGGTCTTACCTGATGACCCCAAAGAGGCTCATTTCTCATCACTGTTGCCATGGATTCTGCTGTACCACCTCATCAAACAGGAGGAGGCGGCGTTCGACTGCATGCTGCGACAGCACATCACAGACGAGGATGACGATGGTATGAATAAAGGAAGATAATGACATTAAACAGGGCTCGACACCACTAAAGTTGGTCTGGTCGGGGCCAGTGGGTCAAATTTGTATTTTCCCTGCCAATATTTTAAGAAAACCATTATATAAGAGTTCTTGTTGTTGGTTTTTTTTCACGTTGAATTCAAGTAAATAAGGTTATGACACCAACATTTTAGATACTAGTGAAATTGTAATTTCGTTACCACAGCAAACCCTGTTGAAGACAAGTGACCAGTCAGTAGATAAATAAGAATGAATAAACAAATGACTAATTCCACAAATAAATACTACTGAACAAAGATACAAATTAAGGTTTTTCGTACAAATTTATTCAATTTCTGTGCCTGAATACTAAAAAAAAATAAAGTAATTAAATGTAAAATGACACTGCATAGTCTTCACTGTATAAATTATATATAGACTAATCTTAATTAAAGTTAGTACTTTGTCTCTTGTTTAATGAACAAATAATGGCAGGTATATTAGACTGCTGTCACTTTAAAGGACAACTTCAGCGCGAAATGAACCTTTGGTCTAATAACATATCGGTACATAGTCAACCGTTTTCTGAGATTTGTTTTCATGATAAATGAATATAAAGAGTTTCATCTCTTAAAAACTGTTTTAAACTGTTAAAAAAAGACCACAGATCCAGGATATCCATGTGTTTTGTCCCCTCAGCTGTTTACATTCACTTAATGCATACATTAGTCGCCAAAAGTGATGTCCGGAGGGGGTATTTGTTTTTAAAGATCCTAAAAGTTTGATTAAACATTTAAATATGAGGATTTTTATTTATTTATTTTTTTTTTTTTTTATATATTTAAAAACTAAGGGATAAACGAAACGCATAACTATGTTAAGCTGTTTATCTGATAAAATGATTAGCCAAAAAAAGCAAACTACAGCTTAAGGGTTTTTTTTTTTACTATGCAAAAAAATGCATAGAAAAGACAAAAGCTAAGAGGAGAAAGGCATACATTGGCTACAGTATTTTGTTGTTTCTCTCTTGTTTTTGTATAATCAACTCCAAGCAAAATCTTTAACCAATTTTTTTATAATATTAAAATAAAGGGTGAAAATCATCACTTTTGGCCACTACTGTAAATGACTGTTTACTAGGATAGTCGCTAAGATTTAACACAATCATGTCTTTATTTGTTCACAAGTTTCTTTTCCATACTTCTTGCACTTGAAATCGCTTTAAAATCACTTGAATGTTTAAATTGGCCAGACTTAAAAACCCATGCCAATGATAAACTTTCGCGATGATGTAGCATTGGCCCGGAAAAAGAGAACAAGACAAGGGCTTGTAATAAAACCAGAACCAACATCAGCTTTGGTTTTTTTAGAGATGGAGAACTGAGGGATTTTAAATGTTGTAAAAGCAACACAGAGATTACCATATACAGTGGTGTGAATAAGTGTTTGCCCCCATGCTAAAGTTGTCTAAAAAGAGGAATAAAAAATCAACCCTTGGATATTGATCTTAATGCCTTAATTAGAAAAATGAGGAAAACTCCAACCTTTAAGAACACAAATTTTCTTTGTGAATGAATAATGTATCATAAATAAATAAATGTTTTTCCTTAAAATACAGGGTGCATAAGTCAGGGCACCCCTATGTTTAAATTCCCATAGAGTCAGGCAGATTTTTATTTTTAAAAGCCAGTTATTTCATGGATCCAGGATAATATGCATCCTGATAAAGTTCCCTTGGCCTTTGGGATTAAAATATCCCCACATCATCACACACCTTCCACCACACCTAGAGATTGGCATGGGGGACTTTCCATAAGATCATCTTTCAATGCAAATCAAACCAGCTATTAGGCTAACTGAAGTAAAACCATGCCAATCTCTAGGTGTGGTGGAAGGTGTGTGATGATGTGGGGATATTTTAATTCCAAAGGCCAAGGGAACTTTATCAGGATGCATATTATCCTGGATCCATGAAATAACTGGCTTTTAAAAATAAAAATCTGCCTGACTCTATGGGAATTTAACATAGGGGTGCCCTGACTTATGCACCCTGTATTTTAAGGAAAAAACATTTATTTATTTATGATACATTATTCATTCACAAAGAAAATTTGTGTCCTTAAAGGTTGGAGTTTTCCTCATTTTTCTAATTAAGGCATTAAGATCAATATCCAAAAGATGATTTTTTTATTCCTCTTTTTAGGCAACTTTAGCATGGGGACAAACACTTATTCACACCACTGTATTTTATTGAACAGGTAAACTGCCATATGCAGCTCTAACAGAGTTCATTGAACTGCAGTATTATCATATTCATCCGCACTGTCAAACAGAGCCAAAGCACAACCAAAACAATGTCCTCCCGCAAAATGCATGCAGTTTTTTTTAAACCATAGAAGGCCAAAAGTTACATGGTTTAAGGATAGTGATAACCTTAGTGTGTATTAGTATTTGACAGTGTTGTTGAGCCAGCTGTGTATGTGTGTGTGATCTGCAGAAGACGACACGCCGCTGCTGCCCTCCTCCCTCATGCTCCTGAACACGGCACATGAATACCTGGGCCGGCGCTCCTGGTGCTGCAACTCTGATGGCACTCTGCTTAAGTTTTTTGTGAGTGTTTTGTCATGGCGATCTCTCTGGAACATGTTTCTATGCTTCTGTAATCAGGACTTTTGAATTTTGTCGTGTGTATTTTATAGAGCCAGACCGATATATCGGCAGACCGATATTAGGCATTTTCCAAACTGTCGGTATCAGGAGTTTTAATGGCCGATAAATTAATATTTCAAAAATAAAATAAAAACGGACGAAACACGCTTGAACCATGTCACGAGTGTTGGAGATGTATAGTTTGTCCACCAGAGGGCACTCCACACCGTTCCTGTTGGCAACACTCGTTGAGTTGGTCATTGCTTGAATAACAATTAAAAGAACATCCCCATCAGTTCTCTAAACTCAAATAAGCTTGACAAATTTTGTGACTATCATGTCTAGTTTAAAAATAAATAAATAAATAAAATATCAGCCGATATATCGGAATATCGGTTTTTAAAACCCCAAAATATTTGTATCGGTATCGGCCTTCAAAATCCTTTATCGGTCGGGCTCTATTAATCATTCCTTAAAGGGATAGTTCATCATTTACTCACCCTCATGTCGTTCCATACCCATAAGACTTTCGTTCATCTTCGAAACACAAATAAAGATATTTCTTAGCCTAAATTAAATCCGGTCATCATATAAAGCGACCGAGTCTCTTCCGAAAATTTGGACTAAACCGCTTAATTCATATGGATTAGTTTCACAATCTCTTTATGAACTTTCTGAAGCGTCAACAGAACAGAAATCTCTCAGATTTCATCAAAAAGATCATCATCTGTGTTCTGAAGATTTAAAACAACATGAGGGCGAGTAATTAATGACAGAATTTTCATTTTTGGGTGAACTAACCCTTTCACATTTGACACTTTTTAAACCGATGTGATGTTAAGAACTTTTTTTACATTTATCTGGCACAAAAACAATAAGGGTCTAAATTACAGTAATTCAGGGACAAAATGTATCTTTAACAGATACGTTTATAAAATACAGCTAACGTATTAAAAGAGTAAAAATGCATTAAACTTTTTTACACTAACACTTATTTATATACATTGCCATTCAAAAGTTACTTATACTTTTTCAAAAGTATTAATACTTGTATTCAGCAAGGACGCATTAAATGTGACGGTAGACATTTTGTAATATTGAAAAATATTTCTGTTCCAAATAAACGCTGTTCTATTGAACTTTCTAATCACAGTTTCCACAAAAATATGAAGCAGCACTACTCTTTTCAACAGTTGAATGAAACCGCTATGCGCAGCACTGCACCATTTAGCGAAATATTTTGCCTTCAGTTCAGTGTAGTGATTGTGCTTGTGTGTTTTCAGGTGCGTGTGCTGCGGGAGACGCTCTCAGGACAGGAGAAGCTGCCGTATAAAGAGGATCTGGAGACGGCACTGGAGCAGTGTTTCTTCTGCATGTACGCTTACCCGAGCAAGAAGAGCAAAGCCCGATACCTGGAGGACCATTCTGCCCCACAGGTAATTAGTGTTGTCACGATACCAAAATTATTGTTTCGATACCGATACCAAGTAGGGATGGGACGGTATGAAAATTTCATATCACGATTGTAGTGTCCAAAATAATCGTGATTATCAATATTATCACGGTTTTTGTTAAAAATTTATGAAATTGCTCAAAAAGAACTGATGCTCACACTGAAAACATTTCATTTTATAATTGAAAATCAACAAACAACAAATTAAACAAGCCTCTCTATGCAGTTTTTTAAGCAAGATTCTATTCTATGGCATTTGCTTCTTTATAATGCCCGTCGTCAATAGCAACGCATTATTACACAGCGCACATCAATAACATTCACAACGGACGCGCACTCTTGTTTCATTCAAATACAACTTGCCGTCTTGCGTCTCCGGTTTTTTGATTGTATTGCAAAAATGAAATCAGAGTTGATTTATTGCTTACAGAGTTTGATAATATTGGTGTGATATATCTTGTCTGGACGATTGTTTTTCAAAATGAATTCATAAACAGGTAAGAATTAAAACATTAGCTAATCTCATTATCAATTCAATATGTCCCCGTAATTATGTGGTAAAAATAAAATCGGTTTAATACGTGATGTATCTATACTTTACTATTATCACTCTTAATAATAGTCTTGTTTGAAGTTCGTTCGTCTTTGGCTCAAATCCACTTGCTACGAACTTTTCTTCGCGGAAGCTTCACGTCTACTTCAAGTGAGTGACATAAAATGTTTCAACTCAAAACAACATTTCGTGTAGGGCTGGGCGATATGGCCAAAAAATCATATCTCGATATTTTTTGGTCAAATGGCGATATACGATATATATCTCGGTACTTTCTAAGTTTTCTATTTAGATAAAGAAAATCTTTATATTTTAAAAAAATAAAATAATATATATATATATATATATATATATATATATATATATATATATTCACATTCGGCCCAATGATATCCTACAAACAATGTTGATATTGAAGGATATGGAAACAAATATAATATAGGCTATGCAATATATTATGTGCAAAAAGCTTTTGTTTTTATATTGACTAGAAGCTAAACTAAAAATGAAAATAAAAACAAACAAAAGCACAAACTAATTATATTAGCCTGCATTTGATTACCCCATTATAATCACTTTCACTTTCATTAAAAATATATACTTGTAGGTTTAAAATTCCACATATGGCACATTTATTTTCTCCAACAACAAATATTTTAGCAATATGTTTATTTTAGTCAGAATTATTGCGTACTACGTAGTACTATTCACGCGCATGCGCGCGCCGGCGCTCGTTTAAGGAAGCATGAATTTTAGCGGAGATTCACTTGCAGAAGCTCGTCCTCTTCTGACATGGACATATTTGTTGTGAAATGGACATATTTGCTTTACTTTCTAACATTTACAGATGGAGAATATACCTGTGAAATGTAAGTTGAGCACTGAGGAAAGCACCACTCAAACGCATTAAACAGCGCAATATATCTGTCAGTGAGCAACAGTGTCTGTCAGAGCATTTGACAGGGCGGCAAGCTGCCTTAAACTTGTTAACAATATCAAAGTGATTTTGACGCAATTAATATAAGCTTGTGTCATGTTTAGGACAAATTGTACAACGTAGCCTAGCTACTTTCACTGCAGCAGCTCACACTGCAACCTCCGCTATTTTTCAGATGTGCTCATATCAAACTACTGTATCGATATAAACGGTATTGCCTCATTCCATATCGTTTCAAAAAATATAACGATACATCGTACATATTCGATATATCGCCCAGCCCTAATTTCGTGCCCAATTGTTTCCCAGACGTAGTTTTGTTATTGAGGTCAAAGTTAACTTGCCTTGCGTTCGGGTGATGATCACACAAGACGACTCGGCAGATTTGAAGTGTTTCTATTGCAGTGACTTTTTGTTCGGCAGACAGGGTGACCATCCTCGATCAAGCTTCTCTCAGGACTTTTGTAAAACCCAAACTATGACCACACCTCAGATTTGGTCCTCTTAAAAGGCTGAAAAACCTCCTGAGCACGGTCACTGCCTTCCGCCATTCCTTCTCGAATAGTAATTAAAAAAAATATTGCGTGCTGCGCGCCTGCGTCAGACTGGCCGACAGGATTCAGTGAGTTATTAAAATGCGATAATCAAACACGGTTTTAATGATAATTAAATTTTAAACGATAATACTAACCGTCGGTACATTTTATCACGGTTTATAGTGAAACCGGTTATCGTCCCATCCCTAATACCAAGTAAAGAATTGCGATTTCGATACTTTTCCTGAAAAGGAAAAGTATTTCTAACAAGGCGTTTCACATGCACCTCATTTGCGTAGGTCTGTGCTCTTTAAATGCTGTAATAACCTAATATAAATAAATCACTGACAAATATGCACATGCTTTGATTATAATAGCATATAGATCATTTTAGCTGATGTTTTGTATGCTTTATGTTAGCAGCTTGCAAATTATTTATGCTGTCTATGAAAGTTGGGGGGAAAGTTGTACAGCTAATGCAAAAATAAATAAAACATCTCCAGTTAACTAGCAGTTAAATCGTCCTGCTGCTCAGCGATCGCGATCTGTCATCACACACACACCGTTAGAAAGCTCTCTTTCTCCTGTACAACACTGTCGGATCCAAATATGGTCTTTTCCTTTTTATCAGCAACCAATCGTGAAAGTAAAGGGGGGATTTAACTCTAAATACGCAATCTCATTGGCTGATGCTAAATCTTTAAAGTCAGTTTTCTCTCATACTCCAAGTCCGAAATCTCCACTTCAGTTGCACCTGTATACACCAAAATTTCCAGTCTTGTAAGGCAAGGCAAGGCAAGTTTATTTATATAGCACATTTCATACACAGTGGCAATTCAAAGTGCTTTACATGGAAGAAATTAAAATAATCAAAAGAAGTCAGAATAATTAAAACAGTTTAGAATAAAAAAAATCATAATAATAAAAATAAAATACAGTGTCGAAAATAAAATGTATAGTACAGTCGGACGAACAGTGGCACAGTGCTCATTCAGTAAATGCCAGCAATATAAATAAAAACAGTTAAGAGTAAAAATCTCTATCTGAGATGGAAGAGATTGAGCTGGTTTATAATATAACTTGTACCTAGACATTTACAGAGGGATTTGTAAATATGTTTTTCCTAGCCTAATTTCTATAACATTTTATTCCAAAAAAACATGGCAAAAATATTTTTTCTGATTTACAGGATAACAAAAGTAGATATGAAGAGTTCAGATGCAAAAGCCTCTAAATGCCATTTGAAATTTTCTTCTTTAATGATGATTTTTAATAAACTTGTATATTTAAGTTCAGTAATTTCACTTAAATAACAATTAATAGGTAATTATCATTGCCATTTAAGTGAAATCACTGAACTTAAATATACAAGCTTGATAAAAATGATCATTCTAGAAGAAAATTTCAAATGGCACTTAGAGGCTTTTGCATCTGAACTCTTCATATCCATAAATCCCTCTGTAATTTTTTTCTCATCTAATATGTGAAGAATTTTGAACCTGGCTTTATCCACTACTCAGATTTTGTTTTTAAATATATGCAAATTTGCGCATACTTAATTAGATAATGCCTTATTTTCATATTTAAACATTAAATTACACAAAACTTGTATTCCTCATCTTAATGTAGGTAATCAACTGGTAAAGTTTCATGGTGATATCTGCTAGTTAAAAAATTACCCTCTTCACCTGTAGTGTCTCGCCTTAATAGTGTTGACTTCAGTTCGTAAGTTACTCCCCAACACATCTCCATACTCATTTTGCCTCTGTAAGATCTACAAGCTTTAAAACTGGAGAATGAGCTCTGTCCCCGTGCTAATGAAGGTAGGTGGGTGTTGGACCGGGCGAGTTGGCGGTCTGATTCAGCAAGAATTCGGTGATTGATTATCTTTTGGCAGCAAGAGTCGCCATTGATCATTTAGCCACCCACACACTCCCATTATGCAGCACTGCTCTGCACACAGGAAATGCTGTACACACCATCAAAGTACAATACCGAGGTGTTCTGTACTTATTTCTGTCTCTGGAGGAAACAGATTGTGTGGTGTAGATGCTGCTTGTGTTTTTTCAGGCAACTGGCAAATATTGAACTGTGCTTAGACTGTGAGGTACAGGGCCATTTTGGCAAAAGGCAAAAACAGCCGCAAAACTTAAAGTGAATGTTGGGTTTTTTTAGCTGTAGTTGTCGTTTCTTTGCATTTGCAGTAGGGAATAAAATCCATTTATACTGTAGGTTTAAAAATCAACATTTCTCTCCACTTTTTCCTTAATTTTGGATGAATTTAGTGAGTTGCTGTGTCTAGAATATGCACCAAAATTACATATTCTTTCGGGCCTACTTTACAGAATCATTATCAGGTTACAAAATACTGGATCCCGATTTGCTGAACAAAAGCTAGTTTCCATCCGTAACTAAACTGTATAATCTAGTTTTATTCTCTTTAGTATTAACCACGTTTTGTTTCTTTCCTTTATCTGATCCTGCATTGTAAGTGGTGTTATAAATCAAAACTAGTCAGCTCAATTTTTTTGACCCTGTTATAGACTTGTCATAATGGCAGTGGGAAAATAGCGTTTTATTCAGATGGGTAATCGATAATTCTGTCTTTTGTCACTCGTCATTGCGTTCGAATGGTTCTGATAATGGGAAATGTCTCAGCGTGGAGGATATTATTGCACGCCTGTCGTTGTTCAGATTACTGTGCGGGACAAAAAGAGCCTGTTCTTATTCACAGATTGACAGAAATCCAGTCAAAACTTGCCATTCTTGTGTGTACAGCAAAATCTCATTGAGAAGTACATGCAGCGTCCAAAATTAATATAGTAAAAAGTGATGGAGAGAAAATAATTAAATAATAAAATAGTAATTTAAACGTTGACTAAAATAACATTTCTATAATTGAAAGTAAATGAAAGCTAAATGTAAATATAAAAAATAAATAAATAATGAAAACTGAAATTAGTATGTAAATTAAAAACTAGTCATTTAATTGTTGACTAAAATAAAATTGCTAAAATTGAAAGAAAATGAAAGCTAAAGCTAAATAAAAATATTAAAAAAATAATGAAAACTGAAATTAGTATGTAAATTAAAAACTAGTAATTTAAACGTTGACTAAAATAAAATTGCTAAAATTGAAAGAAAATTAAAGCTAAATGTAAACCTTAAAAAAAGAATGAAAACTTAAATTAGTATGTAAATTAAAAACTAGTCATTTAATTGTTTACTAAAATAAAATTGCTAAAATTGAAAGAAAATTAAAGCTAAATGTAAACATTAAAAAAAGAATGAAAACTTAAATTAGTATGTAAATTAAAAACTAGTCATTTAATTGTTTACTAAAATAAAATTGCTAAAATTGAAAGAAAATGAAAGCTAAAGCTAAATAAAAATATATAAAAAAATGAAAACTAATTAGTATGTAAATTAAAAACGTAAATTAAAGCTAAATGTAAACATTAAAAAAGAATGAAAACTTAAATTAGTATGTAAATTAAAAACTAGTCATTTAATTGGTTACTAAAATAAAATTGCTAAAATTGAAAGAAAATGAAAGCTAAAGCTAAATAAAAATATTAAAAAAATAATGAAAACTAATTAGTATGTAAATTAAAAACGTAAATTAAAGCTAAATGTAAACATTAAAAAAGAATGAAAACTTAAATTAGTATGTAAATTAAAAACTAGTCATTTAATTGGTTACTAAAATAAAATTGCTAAAATTGAAAGAAAATGAAAGCTAAAGCTAAATAAAAATATTAAAAAAATAATGAAAACTGAAATTAGTATGTAAATTAAAAACTAGTAATTTAATTGGTTACTAAAATAAAATTGCTAAAATTGAAAGAAAATGAAAGCTAAAGCTAAATAAAAATATTTAAAAAAATAATGAAAACTAATTAGTATGTAAATTAAAAACGTAAATTAAAGCTAAATGTAAACATTAAAAAAGAATGAAAACTTAAATTAGTATGTAAATTAAAAACTAGTCATTTAATTGGTTACTAAAATAAAATTGCTAAAATTGAAAGAAAATGAAAGCTAAAGCTAAATAAAAATATTAAAAAATAATGAAAACTGAAATTAGTATGTAAATTAAAAACTAGTAATTTAAACGTTGACTAAAATAAAATTGCTAAAATTGAAAGAAAATTAAAGCTAAATGTAAACATTAAAAAAAGAATGAAAACTTAAATTAGTATGTAAATTAAAAACTAGTCATTTAATTGTTTACTAAAATAAAATTGCTAAAATTGAAAGAAAATGAAAGCTAAAGCTAAATAAAAATATATAAAAAAAATGAAAACTCTAATTAGTATGTAAATTAAAAACGTAAATTAAAGCTAAATGTAAACATTAAAAAAGAATGAAAACTTAAATTAGTATGTAAATTAAAAACTAGTCATTTAATTGTTTACTAAAATAAAATTGCTAAAATTGAAAGAAAATGAAAGCTGAATGTAAATATTAAAAAAATAATGAAAACTGAAATTAGTATGTAAATTAAAAACTAGTAATTTAAACGTTGACTAAAATAAAATTGCTAAAATTGAAAGAAAATTAAAGCTAAATGTAAACATTAAAAAAAAGAATGAAAACTTAAATTAGTATGTAAATTAAAAACTAGTCATTTAATTGTTTACTAAAATAAAATTGCTAAAATTGAAAGAAAATGAAAGCTAAAGCTAAATAAAAATATATAAAAAAAATGAAAACTCTAATTAGTATGTAAATTAAAAACGTAAATTAAAGCTAAATGTAAACATTAAAAAAGAATGAAAACTTAAATTAGTATGTAAATTAAAAACTAGTCATTTAATTGTTTACTAAAATAAAATTGCTAAAATTGAAAGAAAATGAAAGCTGAATGTAAATATTAAAAAAATAATGAAAACTGAAATTAGTATGTAAAGGAAAAACTAGTCATTTAATTGTTGACTAAAATAAAATTGCTAAAATTGAAAAAAAAATTAAAGATAAATGTAAACATAAAAAATGAATGAAAACTGAAATTAGTATGTAAATAATACAAAAATAACACCGTTGACCCTGCTTACATGGTACCATCTAAAAGTCTGCCTCTTTCCATCTATCTTCCACTCTCTGATCTAGGTGGAGCTTCATTGGAGCGATGCCATCTTTATGTTTGAGTACTTTAAGCCCAAAACCTTGCCAGAGTTTGACAGCTATAAGACCAGCACTGTCTCAGCTGACCTTGCCAACCTGCTTAAAAGGCTTTCTGGTATAATCCCACGCAATGACGGCCCCACACTCTCCGTCGACGAAGTGTCTGCTTATATTGAGGGAGGTGCTGTCAAGGTATGAGCTCGATGACCCTCGTCCGTTCATCTAGATCTGTTTTGTCTGTTCATCTGTCACTTAAAGCATTTCTCTTTGTCCAAGGTGCCAGCGCTTCCAGAAGGTGCTTCCCCGGCGCCCCCTGTGGTGAACGAGCTGTACTACCTGCTTGCGGACTACCACTTCAAAAACAAGGAGCAGTCGAAAGCCATCAAGTTCTACATGCACGACATCTGCATGTGCCCCAACAGGTCTGCTAAAATTGTACATCCATGTGTGTCCTTAAGTCTTAAATTCAGTTTGAAGAAATTTAGGCCCATAAAAACTCCCCAGAAGTCAATAATTTTATCTCTTAAAATTCGTCTTTGATCACCAAAATTTTTTCGTTGAAAACAAATTTCTTCATGCCTTTAAAATAGCTTGAATGTAACTTTACACCCTTGCCTCATTTACTATATGCGGTTCTATGAATATGCAAATGAGCCCCGCCTCTACTCACTCACTCAGAGATCCACTGGTTGACGATCACACGTTGATCTGATTGGTTACAAGGTAGTTTGTGACGTCACTCAGAAACACCAGCAATTTCAAACCGTGTTTTTGAGAGTGGATAAAATAATCAATGCTGTTGTCTTTTGAATTTACTAGGGCTGTGCAAAGATTAATTGCGATTAATCGCATCCAAAATAAAAGTTTGTGTTTACATAATATATGTGTGTGTGTGCTGTGGATAATTATTTTGTATATATAAATACATATGCATGCATGTATATATTTAAGAATTATTTGCATGTAAATACTGAAATATATATATATATATATATATATATATATATATAAATATTTTATACTTAACACATTTTCTTAAATATATACATGCATGTGAGAGTATTTATATATACAAAATACTTATACAAAGCACACAGAAATATATTATGTAAACACAAACTTTTATTTTGGATGCGATTAATCGCAATTAATCTTTGCACAGCCCTAGAATTTACACATGGTTTGTCTTAAAGCAGATTAAAAACACCACATAGACATATAAACAACATTAAAAGCTGGATTTTCACCACAGGAGGACTTTAAATATTTCAAATGTTTTAATTGTCATCATATAATTCTATTACTGGTATATTAAATATCATAATATAATTATAAGTCTTAATTTCAGAAACAGTAAAACATGGATCGCGATATGGATTTATGTGAATGTTAAACTTTAAAAGGCGATTATTTAATTGTAAGCGCTGAGCATTTTAAAGTCAAAACGCATCATTGTTGCGCGTTCTACAGACTCTGTTTCAAAGCAGTTCATAATTATGACTTTGTTTTACTATATAGTGTTTATATTGCACTTTCTTTTTCCTGCTATATTTATTATACAATCCATAAAATGGTTTGGTAAAGTTGTATAAATTATTGTTTTTATAGTCACTTTATGGTTTGGATATATCCATAGAGTTGCTCTACACTGCTCATACGGTTTTCCTTTTTATTTTACTTAAAAAAGCCCTAATTTTAACCTTGCAGTGACCCTTTGAATGCGGACAGCCATGTTATCTCTCCATCTCTCATGTAGGTTTGACTCATGGGCAGGCATGGCCCTGGCACGTGCCAGTCGCATCCAGGACAAGTTGAACTCTAATGAGCTGAGGAGTGACGGACCCATCTGGAAGAACTCTCTGGCTGTGCTGACCTGTTTCAGACGGGCTCTGGAGATCGACGCCTCAAACCTCTCCCTGTGGATCGAGTATGGTACCATGTCCTATGCCTTGCACTCCTTCGCTTCCAGACAGCTCAAACAGTGGAAACGCGAACTTCCCCTGGACTTGATCAAACAGGTACTTCTGTTTGTATATTTAGGCTACGTCTACATGAATCCACATACATTTGAGAATGCGATTTTATTTTGAAACGCTCTCCGTCCACGTTTTTCTTTTTTTTTTTCTCGCCACGTTTCAGTGTGGGTGAGAAACTTTTGAAAAACGCTAAACTCACCTTAAAGGAGTAGTTCACTTTTTAAAAAACTTTTGCTGATAATTTACTCACCATCATGTCATCTTTCAGTCAAATGCTTCAGTCAACCGATATATCGGCAGGCCGATATTAGGTTTTTTCCAAACTATCGGTATCGGCAGTTATAATGGCTGATAAATGAATATTTCAAAAATAAAATGAAAACGGGCGAAACAGCGGAATTGAAAACAAGAAAACAAGCGGAAATAGCTAGTAAAAGTTATGTTACGTTGTTACAGTGTAGTTGACTGACTGTCCTTTTAAGTTTTGACAATGTGACTGAAGTATTTCTTTAAAAGCGCGTGACAGTTTTAGCAATGAGACGCATCATCTCTCCTTGGCCTGTTATATTGAAAATGTATGTTTTACAATTTGCAGTATGACGTTATCCATTGCTAAATTATGGCTCATCATAGACTAGCTAACCATAAAGCTAGCTAATACCACTATCATCAGTCTGTTCTGTTGTGACAATAAGAAACAAGTTTCTTTTTAAAATGCATTATCATATTATTTTAGTTAAAACTCATAAATAACTACAAATCACTAATGTTAGGGAAATCTGTTAATGTTTTGTTGCGCGTTTCTGGAAAAAAAAAAATATATATATATCGGCCGATATATCGGAATATCGGATTAAAAAAATAATAATTTGTATCGGTATCGGCCTTCAAAATCCTTTATCGGTCGGGCTCTAGTCGAAAAGAAATTAAGGTTTTTGATGAAAACATTCCAGGATTTTCTCCATATAATGGACTTCATTGGGGTCCAAACGGTTCAAGGTCCAAAAGACACTTTCAGTGCAAACTGCAAACTGTTCAAAGGGCTTTAAACGATTCCAGACGATGAATAAGGGTCTTATCAAGCGAAACGATCGCTCATTTAATAAATAAAAAACAAAGTTTAAGTTTTATAAGCTCAAATGCTCGCCTTGGTCTGTACTGTGATGCACGTTCGTGACTCTCCTGTTCGAACTCGTTCATCAAAATGAACAAATCTTTTTCCAAGTCATTTGGTTAATTCAACGAACAACATGAACGAATTGACTTGGAAAGATTCGTTTGCGCATGCGTAAAACCTCACAAAAGCTCACTGAGATGGAAAATAAATGGTTATCGCGCAAATATTTGGTCTAAAACGCGACTGCTCATGTTTTGATGCAAATGTGAGTAAATGTTCTGTCGTCTTTGCAGGACTGTAATATGAAGAGTGTGTAAAGTAACACATTGTAGTAACGGTGTGAAAGTGAATAGCACATAACAGGCATTATACCGGTATAAACATGAATATCTATTGGTAGAACTGTCAAAACAGAGGTATTTAAAAAGTCAGTCTAGTCAGTCCACACTACAATGCGAAAATGGTGTTTTCAAATGTATCCACTTAGTACAGTGTTTTCAAAAACATTTGTTCTCATTAATAAAAACGCTTTCTATTAAGCTACTAAGCTACACTTAAAGGAGTAGTTCACTTTTAAAAAATCTTTTGCTGATAATTTACTCACCCCCATGTCATCCAAGATGTCCATGTCTTTCTTTCTTCAGTCGAAAAGAAATTAAGGTTTTTGATGAAAACATTCCAGGATTTTCTCCATATAATGGACTTCAATGGGAACCAAACTATAAAGACAATTTCAGTGCAAACTGTTCAAAGGTTTGTGATGATTCCAGACGATGAATAAGGGTCTTATCAAGCGAAACGATCGCTCATTTAAAAAAACAACAAAGTTTTATAAGCTCAAATGGTCGCCTTGCTCTGTTCTGTGACGCGCGTTCGTGACTCTCCTGTTCGAACTCATTCATCAAAATGAACGAATCTTTTTCCGAGTCAACTCGTTCATTTCATTCGTTGAATGAACCAAATGACACGAAAAAAGATTTGTTCATTTTGATGAATGAGTTCGAACAGGAGAGTCACGAACGCGCGTCACAGAACAGAGCAAGGCGACCATTTGAGCTTATAGACCATTTCACAAGATGTAAACGACACTGGTCCAGAAGCACTTCCTGTTTCAGTTTTTTAACACTACATAAAAGCTGGGATAAAATACAACCAACAGAACATTTAAAACTGAATCAAAAAGTTCTTTACATGTGAAATAAAGAAAACGGTTACAAACTGAAACAGGAAGTGCTTCTGGACCAGTGTTGTTTACATCTTGTGAAATGGTCTATAAAACTTAAACTTTGTTTTTTTTCTAAATGAGCGATCGTTTCGCTTGATAAGACCCTTATTCATCGTCTGGAATCGTTTAAAGCCCTTTGAAGCTGCACTGAAACTCTCATTTGGACCTTGAACCGTTTGGTTCCCATTGAAGTCCATTATATGGAGAAAATCCTGGAATGTTTTCATCAAAAACCTTAATTTCTTTTCGACTGAAGAAAGAATGACATGGACATCTTGGATGACATGGGGGTGAGTAAATTATCAGCAAAAGTTTTTTTTGAAAGTGAACTACTATTCAACAATATCATTGATTTGCCTGCATTAACACCATTATGTGAGAACTGAGCAGGACGATGACAACACTGTTTTCTCCAGAGCGGATTTATAAATATATATATGTACAGTATGAACTAAATTAATTAACTATCTTTTTTTACAACAGAAATGAACCATCGCTGAATTTACTTGAGCTGGACTATGACACTATTTTCTTCTAGATCTGCTGTACAGCCAAAACAAACTCATTTTTCTGTGATCACTGTAAAGCTGCTTTGAAACAATCCCTATTGTAAAAAGTGCTATATAAATAAAGACTTATCTGAGAAAGAGAGCCATGTGATTGTTTGCAAAACAAGCGCTAAAGTGTGTGCTGTAGCGACAAGATTTGTTTCAGTTTGTGTTGCTTGTGTTTATAGATGGAAGAGCGCAGAGACTCAATGTTAGAGACGTCGTCGCAGTGCTTTCGCGGAGCCTCTCGCTGTGACGGCGATGAGGAGGAGTGGCTCATTCACTACATGATGGGAAAGATTGCAGAGAAGCGCAAGATGCCGCCCAAAGACTACCTGCTGCTGTACAAAAAGGTGATCTTCTAATCTAGGTGGAGAATCTGATTGGCTATTGAGGTTGCGTCTGTTGCCGTGGTCGATTCAATCTAACATGGCCATAGTTCAATGATACAGTTTGAGAATGATTAGGACATTCTGTGACATAGGTGTGCTGTGTCACCTTCAGGTCTGGCTCCATTCTGGTATGTATTTGTCATCATTCAGTCAGTTCCTGTCGGATAAAATGTAGAAAATTTGATGAAGCGTCTGAAGCCGTTGATGGTGTAAAAGAGGCTTCTGACTTCCCAGCAGTCCGACACATCTCATTACAGCTCTGTGTCATATTTCTGCAGTCTGCACACTATCTGCATGAGGAGGCAGCCAGATACCCACGCAAAATCCACTACCACAACCCACCTGACCTCGCCATGGAGGCCTTAGAGGTATGTAGTGGTTTGCAATGTGGTCGACACTACTGTTCAAAAGGTGCAATTTGTGAAAGCGGCACGGTAAGTGTACCCACCATTTGTTTGATCAAACGTACAGTGTTGTTTTAGTATATTTAATTCTATTTTAATGTATTTAAAGGGATACTTCACCGTTTTTTCATATTAAACTGTTATTCCCTTAACTAAAATGATAACTCTCTCATCTCAATCGCTCTGGCGTGAGACACTTTGCTATTTTGAGCATTTTCAAATGCCATACATCAAAATAACCCTTACTCACCCTATTTGAAGGCTATGTTTGTAATAAATCAGTAGTAACTAGATAAATATCTCAAAAGTGCAATAAACAAAAAGAAAAATAACTAAAAAAAATTCTACATATTTTATTCAATACAAAAAATGATAAATGTCAACCTCAAACTTGTCAATGTGAAAAACATGCATGAAACAATTTTAAACTATACAGAATTGATTTGAACTCTTTACATAAATTAGTTTTTAAAGCTTTTAGTTTATTCTTAGCTAAAAGCACTTAGTTCTTTCAAAAATATATGCGCTCATTAATGTATATTTACTTCGTTCAAGTAATAAAGTATTCTTGTGAGTGTATAATATGCCATTGAAAACACATACGGGCAAGGGGTTCTAATGCCCCTCCATCTTGAAAGTACATTAGCCAAAGAGGGACATACCCGTTAATTCAAGATTCGCCTTTCGTGTTTTCGTTCGAGTTAACACTCATGGACGAGGTCGAACTGGAAGCCATGTTAATCTTGGACTACATTGGCCACCGTAGGAGTTAAAACGAAATCGGAATTGAGAGGAACAGAAACTAATATTCACTGGATGGTCATATATCCTTTCACCACTAGATTGGGGTAAAAATCACACAGTGTAGCTTTAAGATAAACTCATTTTTACACTCATTTAAAAAAAGGCGGTAAAAATGCCACGTAAAATAATCAATTACATTTGTGGTCAAACAGATAACATTTTGCTTATGAATATTGATTGAACATTGAATTGGTTAGAGTATAAAATAAATAGACCCTGTCAGAAAAATTAATAATAAAATAAATATAAACTAAATAAATAAAGCCGATGAGTAGAGGGAGAGTTCAGCGCGTCCATGTACTTTCATTTAGTCATAACTTTGCGTGTGTGTGTGTGTGAAAGGATAGAATGAAGCAATGGTAAAAAGACAATAACTATAAGAAGGAACATAGCAGATGGGTCAAATGAAGCTTTTGACGTCACAACATGAGACACACGCTGGGGTCATAGTGCACAGAACGTGATACGTCAATGAGCCATCGGAAGCTGTATCAGAGCTAGCCATTTGGTTTCAGCTTCTATATTGAATGAACTGGCTTATCAAAGTGTCTCGCGCGCCAGAGCGATTGAGAGAGATGTTTATCAACTCGTCTTAGTTAAGGGAATAACATGGTTTAATATGAAAAAATGGTCGAGTATCCCTTTAAATTATTCATATGATGGAAAGATGAATTTTCAGCATCATTACTTCAGTCTTACTTCAGTGTCACATGATCCTTCAGAAATTATTCTAATGTTGATTTGCGGCTTAATAAATATTTCTGATTATCATCAATGTTGAAAATACATTCTTTCATCTATGCTAAATAAAAGTATTAATTTCTTAAAGGAGAACTCCGGCGCAAAATGAACCTTAAGTCTAATTACACATTGTTACCTAGTCAACCGTTATCTGAGATTTGTTTTCATGATTGCCGAATGTAAATAGTTTTATCTCTAAAAACAGTTTAGCCTATAACGCTAGTATAATGCTAGTATAGGGCATAGAGTAATGACAAATAAAAATCGCTTGTTATTACCACTAAAAAGGCTCAAAATAGCCCCACACTAACACGACAGCATAATAAGGGTCCCTACATTCAAACCGAAGCATTGAGAACTTTGTCAGTGTCCAAACAGTTTAATAAGCAGATATTTTATACACACAGTCAACTTCGCGAATACAGGAAGAAGCCATCTTTGAAAAATAGTCTCTACCAGTCGATCTACGAACGCCGATCCAAGTGCGCTGGTGAGATGTGAATAAGGTGATAAGGTGAGCGCGAACAGTAGGCTACGTGTACATATTGAAGAGAAGAAAACGGTTTGTGTTTGTGTTTCTTCTGGAAACAACGGACCATATGAGATTCTGCACAGTTCAGCGCACTTGGATCGGCGTTCGTAGATCGACTGGTAGAGACTATTTTTCAAAGATGGCTTCTTCCTGTATTCGCGAAGTTGACTGTGTGTATAAAATATCTGCTTATTAAACTGTTTGGACACTGACAAAGTTCTCAATGCTTCGGTTTGAATGTAGGGACCCTTGTTATGCTGTCGTGTTAGTGTGGGGCTATTTTGAGCCTTGTTAGTGGTAATAACAAGCGATTTTTATTTGTCATTACTCTATGCCGTATACTAGCATTATACTAGCGTTACAGGCTAAACTGTTTTTAGAGATAAAACTATTTACATTCGGCAATCATGAAAACAAATCTCAGATAACGGTTGACTAGGTAACAATGTGTAATTAGACCAAAGGTTCATTTTGCGCCGGAGTTCTCCTTTAAGAAACAAACAAAAAAAAAAACCCATAATGAATCCAACCCTTTTGAGTGCTAATGCAAGCAAGTATACGACAAAATACGTCGAATTTAATGAATTTCTTTCAACTTGCCAGCTGTTTTTCCGCCTGAGCGCCACAATTCTGAAGTTGCTGGAGAATGAGGAAGACTGTGGCGAAGTGTCTGAGCAGCAGATGAAGTTCCTGGACTACGAGGTGTTCTTCAACATGCTCGCTGAAGCTGCCGTCGGACCCTTTGCACGAGGAGAGGAGAAGACCACGCCCAAAACCAGCAGCGACAAGTATGATCACGAACCTTTTACACTCTTAAGAGCCACCAGGAGTTTAGAAAGAGTGAAAAACTATCCCCTTAGATTCAGATTTCAACTGATTTCAGCTGTGTGTTGACGAACTTTGAAAAAGAGGAGCAGTGATAACATTGACATTACACACTGCAGTCATTCACCAGATTATGCAGTAATTAGTAGCAAGCTAAAAGTAGGGTTGGGTTTCGAAACTCGGTGCCAATAGGGAACCGGTTCTGACGTAAACGGTAGTAACCAGACCGAAGAAGAATGAAAATTTCGCTGCCTGAGTCTGTGGCATGAGGCGCACACACGCAGTCTCTCGCTGTCTCCCTCTCCGACGTGCGCGCACTATACGGTTTATTGAAGCACTGTCTGATCTGTCTCGCACGCGCGCTCTTGCTCGCTCGCTTTGAACTAGATTTGAACTAATTTGCGATCATCCGGGAGCCGTTATCAATATGCGGGAGACTCAACAAACGTCCGCTGATAGCGAGGAGATTAAACACACGTGAAATGTTTGTAATGTACACGTAGTAATCTCTATTAATCTCCAGTATAATTACATTGTTTGATATAATATTGTTTTTTTTGATATAATATAAATATGAACTTTTATTTTATATTGGTTTATTTATTATTACCATATGTCTAGGGATGGGAATTGATAAGATTTTATCGATATCGATGCCACTAACGATTCTGCTTATCGATCCGATTCTTTAACGATTCTCTTATCGATTCCTGATAGCACTGTGTGGGAAAAAGTAGTCATATGCTTTTTTGGGGAAAGAAACAATTGGTTTTATTTGTTTTAAACCTTACACTTGACTAAGTAAACTGTACTTTTGATGTAATTTATATAATAAATGAAACCTTATGAGTTCAGTTCAGTGTTGGGAGATCAGTTCAGTTGTTTTAACCATTCATTAAAACGAATCGGTTCAAATGAGTCATTAGTTCGCGAATTGAACGTGTCATTATCAGACGTGTGCGCGTTCCGACACAAGATGTGTGTCATCACAGAAAACATTTCATCTTTTGGTCGTTTTTTCCGTTTATTTGAAGTGTGGTTTATGTCAGCTAAATGTGCGGACCGCTTTTCAGAGAAGATAAGGCAACGTAGACCTATTTCAGCACAATTCACACCCAGCGGTAATTCAGGAAAACAAAACTCCGAATGCTACACATGAAACTTTAGTCTCCCGACCTTACTATTGTGTCGATTATTTTGATTAATATGTGCGAGGGAGAAAGAGAGAGCAAGACAGCGCTTAGTTTTGAGCAGTGAAGCCAGAGAGAGGTGCGCGCGCGCACGACCGGGGCTCTCTCTCTCCCTGCTCGTTCAGTTTAACACGAGCCCTGTCACGAGCACAGCGGTTCATAACTACAGAGAGAGACAATTTTACCGGTACTCACCGATCAAATAAGGCTTTGGTGGTACAAAAAAAAAATCGCTTTGGACGCCGTGCTGGTGCTTAATAAAGGACAAAGGGACAGTTGTTAGTTCACTGTCTGAAGCCTACATACTGGTTGACTCAGAGCAGGAGCATCGATAAGAGGAATCGTTAACGTCGAGCGCATACAATATCGATGGATCGTAAAATTTAGAACCGGTTCTCGAGTGGAACCGGTTTTCGATTCCCATCCCTACATATGTCACTTAATATTGTGTCCAGTTTGGCCCTGTAAATAAAGGGGTATTATTTTTTTTGACAAAGTGTGTGCGGTTTCGTTTTCTTAAGTACCGTTTCAAGAACCGTTTAGGCACCGGAACCGTTTAAAAAATACCGAGTAGGTACTGGTATCGGATAAAACCCAACCGATCCCCAACCCTAGCTAAAAGTTAAAGGGATAGTTGACTTTGAATCACATTTTTTGGTATGTTTTATCTTACCTCAAGGGCATCCAAGATGTAGGTGTCTTTGTTTCCACAGTATTTTCAATTTTGATATTTTTAGGTCAAACCGTTCTTGTCTGTCAGTCATATAATGGAGGTCTATGGTCACCACCTCAAAGAGCATGCACAGAGAAGTCCAAATTAAACATGATTTAATGACTCGTAAATGTAAGTACACATTGATGGCCTAAGACACGAAACGAGCGGTTTGTGTGAGAAAACGAACAGTATTTATATCTGAGGTATCCAAGTGATCTGAGGGCGCGGGCGATTCTGTCTGTGCAAGCGGTGGAAGTGATCTCTCAATTCAACGTTGTCGGTTGATATATCGAAATCGTCTTCCATTGTGATTTCCTGTATATCTAAATATGTTCTTCACAGTGAAAGGGAACGCCTCCAAAATCTCAGTGTAAACAATGAGTGACGTACACGAGCGAGAGATCACTTCCAGCGCTTGCGCAGACCGAAGCGCATACATGTATAATAACGCGTACATTCCCAACACTGGAGATGCGTCTTTAATCTAGTTTTAAACTGGAAGCCTCTAACGATATCAGGAAGGCTATTCCAGAGTTTAGGAGCTAAATGTGTGGACGCCCTCCCTCCTTTAGTGGACTTAGATAACCGAGGAATGACCAGAAGCCTCGAAACTTCCAAACAACTGTTTTAGAGCAAGTTTAAATGTTGGTCCTCCAGGAGCAGGATGTGTGAAATGACTTTTCTAGATCTTTGAGTGTTTGTATTTTGTTAACATCATCTTTTCTCCCAACAGGGAAAAGCTTCCATCCAATAACGATGAAGACTCGCGCTCTTCGGCTGGCGTGAGTACCTGTCCGGCAGCGCTGACCTCCTCATCGGTCACATCTGTGGCTGCAGCAGCTTCTCTGCCTGGCGACGGTGCGAGAGGTGCGAGTTCTCCCCCGTATTCGGTCACTCCGGTCGACCACGATTACGTCAAGCGTAAAAGCCAGCAGCAGAGGCACAGGCGGGGGCAGGAGCTCCAGCAGCAGCAGCAGCAGCAGGACGGTACAGTACCAGGGCCAGAGTATCACTCGCTCACTCACTCACTCACTCATGCACGGGGGAATGAGGATGATGAAGGTTTTTTACCACTATGAATTCATTTATGGGCTCTGGTGTACAGTAACATCTCCTCCCACCCCTCCTCTTACCATCTGCACCAGGCCATAGAGGATCATGGGAAAATGGGCAACATTGCTAACAGTGTCTCAGCGCCTTTTCCGCTTTCTTTCAGCTATATCCACATTAATCTGGATACTAGTGTTGTCAAAAAACTCGGTACTTCGGTACCAAGTCGGTACTAAAAAAAAAAAAAATGTTACGGTACCAGCTTTTCTAGGTACCGAGTACCAGGTTAATCCAGTTCTAGACGCGCTGTCTGAAAGGTGCACAGTTGCGTCCTCTTCATAACGCTGATATGGCTCTCTCTCTCTCTCTCTGAATCCACTTGTTGACACGAAAGGAGGAAAGAGCCACATATGGAAATATTTTGGATTAGGCTAATGTCACGTTGCCATAAGAGGCCGATTACATGCAAATTCGCAATTTCAAATATAGGCGCGAGGCAAGCGCGCTCGTAATAAAAACTCGTTGCATAGCAACGGCAGACGCCGCGTGAGAGCAAGCGCTTTGGAAAGAATAAGCACGTGCAAAAATATAATAAAAAAAAACACGCGCGATATGTGAACGGCCTCTAAAGTGCTTTCGGGGTAGTTTTACGAGTACATGAGCACAGTAGTATCCAACCGACACCGGAGTACTGGTATTAGTATCGACGCATCCCTATTTATGTCATTTAATGTCAGTGCCAGTTCTAGGCGTATTCTTGCCTTTATAACTCAGCAGTTTTAAAAAGCCTTTTCAAAATTAAATATGAATGCAGTTTTAGAAATAAATAAAAGTACAGTCAAATCAAATAAAACATGTTTTTTCTCCTGTAGCCTATAGTTTGGTAATGCTACAATAAGATACCGTTTATCAACATTAGCTACTTCACATCAACACATTGTGTGAACAATATATTTTTACAACATTAATTAATGTTTGTAAATGTTATTTAATAGAAACACTTGATTGTTCACTTGTTCATTTTAGGTCATTTTATCAAATTTTTTTCTTAAGTGTTTATAATACAAATGTACAGTTTCCATACTTGTAACCGTGATAAACACTTAAATATATGTAAATTTAAACTAAGCTTTGGTACCGAAATTGGTACCGAGAACCGTGAATTTTGACTGGTATTGGTACCGAATACTAAAATTTTGGTACCGTGACAACACTACTGGATACATATGAATACAAAAATATTTTTCTCTAGGTTTTGGGCTTTCCCAAGTCGAAAAATTTGAAACCGCCGTTGTAGCGTTGAAGTGTGGACTGTGAAAACAGAGGTATAGTCATGTGACGCCCATAGAGATATCAATAGTTGCCCTTTCACACTGCCTGAAATTCACTTTCACAGCGCTGCTAAAGATAAATGTTTCTTCGTATCACGTTCCTGCAAAGATGACAGAAAGTTGCTGTCCTGCGCGGCAAATTGTGTTTTAGACCAGACGTAGAATGGCGATTGGGTGTGACCTGAAGTGATGAGATATTTTTCTATTGAAATGATCATGGCAGAATAATAGCTAGAGAGTATTATTATGTCTGGTCTAAGCTTTTATTACATCTTAGAGCATTTTGAAATGAAAATGACTAGATTAATGTGGACGTAGCCAATGTCATGTCTTGCTTCCAGGTGATGAAATCAGATTTTCATTCTTTGTTGTTTGCGTTGCCCAATTTTTTTGCACCCAGTCCAGCGAATTACAATCATTTTGTTTTTGTTTTTCTCGCCATTTTATTTGCTCGTGCCATTCCTGCACCGATTTTGAATGTGCTTCGCTGTTGTTCTCCCAGTAAACCCTGCTGTTATCTATTGGTTGCATCAACAATATAATAAGCTAACTCTTAATCTTGTACTGTACGTAACCATATGTCAACACTGGTGGTTGACCAGACCAGATTGCTGTCATTTGTTTAGATTTTTATTAAATTAATTGTATCAAAAGTGGAGATTTTCTTTTGTGTGTGGCCATATTGGAGTAGTACGCATTAATTGTGATTGCTTAAAGCTTCATGCTCTGTTTTCTTCCTCCCCATCTTGTGGTAACTTTCTCTTAGAGTCCATTTGGGTAGAAATATTTATATTAATTTCTTTCTTAAATTAAAATGTAAAGTCCACACTAAAAGCTTAGTAACTACTAGCTAGTTTGTGACTAACTGTACTTTATTTGGTTGAACTAAGCTAGTAGGTTGTAAAGTAATGCACACAAGACACATGACATTTAACCTCAAAGCTGTTGAAATGCTGTGGATTCTAACAACTAATATGTTTCCACTTAAAATATGATACTACTGAATAACATAATAGGTATTTAATATGTAGATAAAAACTTGATATTGATAAGTATCAATCAATAAATCATTTATTATGACAACACGGACCAACGCACTCTCAGGTTCACTGTTTAGGACGGGTTTGCGTTGAGTCACTAGTGAATATAAAATGTAATATGAAAGCATTATCATATATGTCTGAAGGATTAAAGTCTGTTGGGTTGCACATAGTGCCCGATACATTTACTTTTATGCATGTAGCAGATGCTTTTACTCAAAGTGACTTACAAAAGAGGAGCATTAGCAATATGTTGAGTTCTTTATGTAGTTTAAAAGGGGGGCATTGCACAGTACACTTGATTAAATATTACTGTGGCCTGTTTTGATGAAATGCAGTTAGATTTCAGAACTGTGTCAGATGAGGGCTTTGACCTAGTTGCTCTTGGTGTGCTCATTTTCTAGAATACAGTTCATAGATTTAGTCAGTCACTTCAGTCTTAAGGTGGATTATGAAGGGCTACATTCCTGCTCAGCTCTTGTTGTGTTCATCAAATACCATGAGGCTTGCATGGCTGTGAATGAACATTAGTTTTTGTAGCTATATAAGGCATGGTCACATAGAATAATTCTTAATGCTTTTTACATTAAAAGTATTTGTCATCATGCAATTTTGCGGCCAATAAAATTTAATATAACTTTAAATGGCAAGAAACTCAATTTTTATTACAGGAAAAAAATCCCACTGCAGTTAAAGTTACTAGATATTATAGATATTTCTAGATACAAAATTTCTGGGCCAGTAACATTAACTGGTTGTTTTGACATACAGATAATTTCACTTTTAGCAATTTACCCCTTTTAAATAAAGCAACTAACTAATAAGCTAATTATTTAAAACCAGGGACTTGAAACAAAATATGCATTGCTTTGAAACTGAAACAATTCACAAATTCATAATTCGTGACCAACTCTTAACTGCAGTGTGTAAAAATTAGTGTGACTTGTTTCACAATTTATGAAATATTATCATCATAAGCTGTAAAAGAAAAATCTTTTAAATCATGTAGATGTGTCATGTATAGTATGATGGAAGTTAGTTGAATGGTAGAATAATATATTTGCTTTCTCTCTCATCTCTTCGACAGCGAGTGACACACAAACCCGCCTCTCCTCACTCACTCGATTCATTTGGTCTGGATGTTTGCTCTGAATATTGGTAGTGTTACAGGACTTGAATTTCAGTGTGAGATGTGTCCATAAGTTTGTCAACTCAACTCAAACTGTGGCACATAAAGCCACCAAACTGAGTTATTTTTTGTTGCAATCACACTTAAACAGTCAAAAACACACACAACAATGTCAAAATGTTGGTCTTGGCGAGTATTCTCATAAACGCAGTCAGTTATATTTAGCAGTCGAGAAAGAAAATGCATGTGTATCAGTATATTGGATCCGTTTGTGAGGTCTTAAAGTGACAGCAGCCTGATATTCCTGCTGCCAAATTATGATATCATATTATAAATATCTATATTGCAGTTTTTCCCCATGGTATCAATGTCAAAATTGTGGCCAGTGAAAATGCTGAGTGGCTTGTAACTTTGGAAAACCACTAATCACAGCGACTGCTGAGCAAAAGAGTTCATGTCAACCCTTGTTGATTAAATGTGAAAACCCTCAGACTCGCATTTAAAGGGTCTGTTTAATTCATATAGCCTGCTAACAGAACAGGATGGATGTTGGATTTTAAACCAACATGACATCATGACTTTTGCGTAAACATACACACCACTTTCAAGTCAAGTGGTGTTATCTATACGCATTTTGAGCTATCCGCGTGTATGCGTGTATGTCTACGCCGTTAAATGTCCGAGCGAAACAAAGCAAAATGTAGATCTACATCTGGGGAGTGATATTTTTTTTCCAAGGATGGTAGGGGAAGATTCATAAATACTATTAACCCCAGTGACGGACCAGGTTTAGGGACGGGGTTGGGGTCATAGGTCATATATTCATATATAGGGTTGGGTATCGAGAATCGAGTATCGATTGGAACCGGGACTAACTTTTCGTTTTTCCCGGAATCGTTCAAAAGTTAAAATTTCGATTCCTAGTTTCGATATTCACAGTCCGCCGAGCGGAAGAAGAAACCGCTGAACAACACCAACGAAGAAGCGTCTACCGGAAGTGTTGGCATAACCACGCGAGTCGAACATGAGTAGCTTACGTCGGCGATCCAAAGTGTGGCTTCACTTTTCTAAAAATAACGAAATCTCGGCAAAATGCAAAATTTGTGACAGAAGGAGTATTTCCTTCAGAAAGGCCGTTGGTTAGCAAGGTTAGCTAAACTTTTTTGACCCTGCCTCTTAAAAGAATCGGAATCGAGAATCGTTAGGAATCGGAATCAGAATCGTTCAAATTCAAACGATACCCAGCCCTATTTATATATACAGTAATAACGTTAAGTCAACGGCGTTCATAAACACGCTGAAAAGCGATTATGCGTGTTGATGGCACGCCAAAAATGGAAATACGAATTGCCGTGTCATACATACGCCATTTCATGAGATCAGTCTGTTTAAACAGGTTATAACTTGATTGCTCATGACATAAGATGCTGAAAAAACAGTGAAGAACAACGGCCCAAAGAGGTGTACTTTTTATATATATAATGGCTGTATTTTCTCTCTCTGTATCGATCGTCAGTTTTATTTTCGCAGTTATCCGTGAATGATATATGGACCTAAATAATGTATTATTAAGCTGAGGTTGTTGCTGTTGTTGTGGCTGGCCTCATCTCATTGCTTTACTGATGCCTTCACAACAGCTTGCTGCAGATTTGACGTGTGATTTCTCAAGGTGGACATTGTGACCCATGTTGCCCATATTCCTCAGTTGTTCCCATGGCCTGCTTTAGTCTCCCTGTCTCCCTGCTGCCTCCTGCCTGCTCCCTCTCTGCCTGCCTCTGACCTGCTTCACACCTGCTGCTTCTTAATGGATGCATGATGGGTCAGCACCCTGATTCAACAGTCTTCCCACAATGCACTCCGCACTGCTCTGTGTGCAAACTGATCAAAGTGTCTGCCGTTGCTCACTCGTGCAAGGGAGGTGAAATTGTTCTTGTGGGTTGTGCTGAATAATGTGCTTTGGTAAAGACAGGGGGATGTTTCAACGGCTTTTTTTGGTAATGTTGGTGTATGTGGATGAGTTTAGCTTTTTTGTCATTGATCAAAGCTGCTACAACAGTTCAAGACTTGATCAATTCAGTGTCTTTCTGTATGGAGGCCCCGATAAACTCACAGCGAAGTTCTTTTTTTATTCCTTGACAAAGATTTTTTTAAAATATTTTTAATTTTTTTTAAATATTTTTAATAAAATAAAAAAATAAAAAATAAATACATTTTTAATAATTAAATTAAATTAAATTATTTTTTTAATAATTATTATTTTTTAAAATATTTTTTAGATTTTTTTAATATTCTTGCAGCGAAATGCTCTCTGCAAACAGCCCAACGCGGTCAGTGCCGCTGAGAGGAACAGTTAAGCATCTGACCGATGTTGGATATGTTAGCATGAGGTTTTAATTTTCGCCACTCCACTAAAGTAACATCACGTCACATTTATTTATATAGCACTTTATACAATAGACCTGTATTACAGCAATATGCTTGAAAAAACAGTGTTAATGCTTTTAATTGGAAAACCTTTACATAAGCGCCACAGATTAATGGTTGTTTGATTTGGTGAGTTTTTTTCACACCGGTTCATTCTTCGATTTCGCTTGAAGTATATCGGGACCTTAAAGGGATAGTTCACCCAAAAATGATAATTTTCATCATTTACTCCCCCTCATGTTGTTCCAAACCTGTATGAGTTTCTTTCTTGCTGAACACAAAAGAAGATATAGTTGATGCTGGACCCTGTTGACTTCCATAGAGCCTCAAAAACACAGAGAGAATTTTATTAAAGTTTGACGTGCCGTCAGGGCAACAGTATTTAAGAAATCAAGGATCATTTCACAGGTCAACATCTGCTCTGTTTTGACTTTATACTGATGAAGTTTGAAGCAAATCGGGTAAAAATAAGAGGGTGAATTCTAATCTAAATGACAGTTGTTTTTCATCTTGTCTACAGTAAATATATCCAAATGCTATACCTGATAAAAGGTATACTATATACTAAATATATATACTAAATTTGCTTCCATTCTTTTAAACAGATAGGTTATAAAAAACTAAATGTGAATTTTGACTTCTATTTAATTCAGATCTCATAAATCAGATCTTACCAGTACAGTCAGCATGAACTGTCAGAGACAGAGAAGATACTATGGAAGTCAATGGGGTCCATCAACTTTCTGGTTACCAACGTTCTTCAAAACATCTTCTTTTGTGTTCAACAGAAAAAAGAAACTCATACAAGTTTGGAACAACATGACGGTGAGTCAATTATGACTTTTATTAATTTTGGGGTGAACTATCCCTTTAAAGAAGGGAAGTGAATGTCACGAAAACGCATGCAGGTCACATCTCACCTCAAAATTAAATGAGTAAATTAAATGATGACCCTTTTTCTTTTTGAATGAAGAAAATGAAGCCTGTTTTTTTGCTTTGAGGCCTTATTTTCAACCCAATTAAGCTCAATTTTACCCCCCAAAGGTGGTGAAATACATGATCTTGCTTAGTTTTTGTGAGATTCACTTGAATAACCTCTAAAATGCTATCCATTTCTCAGCAGAACAGAAAAGGAAAGATCTGCTTTATTCACACCGCAATGGTACCCAAAAATATACACAACTGTATGGTTTTCTGAGTCCAGGTTATGCAAAATGTTCTAAACTGACTTTCCTCAACAGCTGACTTCTCACATGACCATGACTACTGCGTGTGTCTCTCTGCTTTGCGGCCAGGATCTGCGTATGGTACAGACGCCTTTCCTCGCACAACCAATAGTACAAAACTTCCGGCTCACCTGTCATCCCTCAAAAGCAGGGCTCAAGTTCCTAAAGTATAGCAAGAGCTATTGTCAAGCACCATGTACACTATAGAGCTCAACAGTGAGCATACACTTTTAGAAGATTGTTCAATATGGAGTTTCAAGCCTTTAAAGGAGTAGTTCACTTTAAAAAAAATTTCGCTGATAATTTCCTCACCCCCATGTCATCCAAGATGTCCACGTCTTTCTTTCTTCAGTCGAAAAGAAATGAAGGTTTTTGATGAAAACATTCCAGGATTTTCTCTATATAATGGAGTTCAATGGGAACCAAACGGTTCAAGGTCCAAAAGACACTTTCAGTGCAAACTGCAAACTGTTCAGGCTTTAAATGATTCCAGACGATGAATAAGGTTCTTATCAAGCGAAACGATCGCTTATTTAAAAAAAAAAAAAAAAAAAAGTTTACGTTTTATAAGCTCAAATGCTCGCCTTGCTCTGTTCTGTGATGCACGTTTGTGACTCTCCTTTTCAAACTCGTTCATCAAAATGAACCAAACGACTCGGTAAAAGATTCGTTCATTTTGATTCATTTATATAGACTTCAATGGGTCCAATGGGTTCAAGGTCCAAATTGCAGTTTCAATCCAGCTTCAAAGGCTTCTACATGATCCCCTTTTAACCACAAATGCTCTTCCAGCAACTCCACGATTTCACACATTACGTAATCACATTAAAAGGTGTTCCGGTTGAAAAATTAAAAGGTGTTCCGGTTCAGAAAGGTAGGGTAGGGTGAACAACTATCATTTTCTTCTCAAACTTCAAAATCATCTGACATCATTAGCCCTATTCGCACGGGATTAGTATTATCTGGGGTCCTTGTGTGAATTTGAAATTACGAAGCGAAGCCTGTGATTTTACCCGTCTGGAATCATCTATCGACTATAAATCCACTATATGGAGAACGTGTTCTTTTCCTCAAAAACCTTAATTTTTTTTCGACTGAAGAAAGAAAGACATGAACATCTTGGATGACGTGGGGGTGAGTAAACTATCAGGAAATTTTTAATTTTTAAGTGATCCAATCCTGTAATGCCAGTGGAAGTTTGGTACTCTAAGGCTATGGAATCAGCAAATCTTTTGCGAATTTTATCCCCCATCTAAATGCTTCCAGTAATACCAGTTGACCGTGGAATATCTAGCAGGGATGAAATATCACAAACTGACTTGTGGAAATGGCATCCTATCACAGTGCCACGCTTGAAATCTCCGAGCTCTTCAGAATGACCTATTTTTCCACAAGTGTTGGTAAATGCAGACTGCATGGCTAGGTGCTTGATTGAACACACTCGTGGGAATGCGTCTGATTGAAACACTTGAATACAGTAATTAAGAGGTGCGCCGTCTTAACTCGTCCATATAGCGTACCTCAAACATACTTTCCTTCTTTAGCCAACCTTACCTAGCTATCCTGTTGGAATATGACGTTTGATTGACGAATTTCATTGAGAATGTGCAATTAAACACTTGAAAAGTACATTTGGTATTGCTTAATCTGTTTCACAATGAAGATTTCAAATGCTTGCTGTTGAGCTCTATTATTGGTCAATATTCTTAACTCTTAATTCTCAGTAGCCATGTTTCCATCCACTTGTCAATCGAATTATCTGAAGTTGGGTAAAAAAACACATGCGAATAAAGCTGGTGAAAGTGTGTTTCTATCAAACGGCTTTAAAGGGATACTCCACTTTTTTGGGAAATAGGCTCATTTTACAACTCCCCCAGAGTTAAACTGTTGAGTTTTACCTTTTTTGAATCCATTCAGACGATCTCCGGTTCTGGCAGTAGCACGTTTAGCATAGCTTAGCATACATCATTGAAGTGCACAAGACCATTAGCATTTCTCCCAAAAAAATTACCAAAGTGTTTCGATATTTTTCCTATTTAAAACTAGGGCTGGGTATCGATTCACATTTCAATTTCGATTCGATTTCGATTCACAAGCTCTCAGTTCGATTCGATTTCGATTCTCGATTCAATTTTCGATTTCGATTCCTGATTTGATTCTCGATTCGACTATAATGAAGATGTAATACAAATCCTATATTTATAAAAAAGAACAGTGGACATAAGTTTACTGGTGGTTAATTAATACAAGGAAATTAAGAGCCATAAACCTGTATATAAAACTCTTTTTATTTTAGGTACACTAAATGCATACAGAGAATAAACAGGATTTTGATGCAATATGCAAAAAAAGTCAGAACAGTCGCACAGCTTGATCAAACAGTATCATGTTATTTTATGTTTAAGATAAATATATATAAATAAATCTATAAATATTTAGACTTTTTTTTACATTGATCTTACCTAAATGGTAATGTAATTTTTTGTTTATTTTTGTTTTAAGAGTTTATGTATGGAAGCTTGATTTCAATCTTTGAATTAAATTGAAAAAAGTAGCACAAATAAATACAATAGAATAAAGACACAAATTAAGAGACATTTTGGGGTAGTTTTTTTGGGTATGTCAGAAATACTACAGAAACTGAATAAAGTAATCCAATGTAAAATAACACTGGATAGTCTTTTTAGTCCAGACTGAATTAAATACAAAGGCTATTAATTCTGATTGCTTACAATTAATACTATATACTGTTGTTATGACAACAGAATTAATGACTTGACACAAATGGCTGCGTTCACTTTAAGAACTAGTGCGCGAATCCATTATTGTTTCATTAACTTTCTGTCACACGCGTTTAATGCTAATTTAAGACATTACCGACTGTCTTTACAAGGTTACTCACCAAGACCAGAGTTTTGACATAATGTCGCGTGTTTTAACTGTTAAAGTGATATAATCCAGGGATAAAACTTTTGTTTCTGGCGAGCTGTTTGTGAGGCAGATTTAGGCTGTAACGTTACTGTGCACGCAGTGAAAGACATCTCTGAGAGTTCGCGAGCACGGGATGGTTTAACATTGCTTGTAAAACTCAAAAAGACGTGAAAATGATAAACGTTCGTGATTACGATCATAGGTTACGATGCAATGCTGGCCCGATTGTTAAGTGAATATTCCGTCATGTCCCGACTCCTAAACGCATGTGTCTGTGTATCGACAGCTGCAGCGCTTGGGGCTTGATTAGTGCAGAGAGACGAGAAGATGCAGCACCGCACCCTTTATATGGAAAAAATCGATTCCGGCCGTTGAGAATCAATTTTGAATCGAACACATTTTAAAAAACGATTAATCGAAAAATCGATTTTTTTGCCCAGCCCTATTTAAAACTTAACTCTTCTGTAGTTACATCGTGCACTAAGACAGACGGAAAATGTAAAATGGCGATTTTCTAGGCTGATATGACTAGGAACTATACTCTCATTCCTGCGTAATAATCAGGAAACTTCACTGTCGTACCATGAGTGCAGCAGGCGTAATGAATACACAAACTTAGTCCCGGTCACGTTAGAAGCTGGGGACTATTTTCAAGCGCTGCGTCATAACATTACGCCTGCTGCACTCATGGTACGACAGTGAAGTTTCCTGATTATTACGCAGGAATGAGAGTATAGTTCCTAGTCATATCAGCCTAGAAAATCGCCATTTTACATTTTCCGTCGTTTTTAGTGCACGATGTAACAACAGAAGAGACAAGTTTTAAATACGAAAAATATCAAAACGCTTCGGTAGTTTTTTTTCTGAGAGATGCTAATGGTCTTGTGCACTTCAATGATGTATGCTAAGCTATGCTAAACGTGCTACTGCCAGAACCAATCAACAGTTTAACTCTGGGGGAGTTGTAAAATGAGCCTATTTCCAAAAAAAAGTGGAGTATCCCTTTAAAGCGAATAAAAACCTGTACGTAATGACGTCACATGCTGTTTTGCGATCAAATTGATTTGAGACATTTTAAGATGTTTCCATTCATTTTCGCACTGAATCGAACAACATTCAAGCAAAGTTTTGTTAGACAAAACGGATTGCGCCATCTACCAACAAATGATCAAGTATTTCACAAGTTGAAGCCCAATAATGCTTATGTGCCAGCTGATAGCGACATATGTATGGGATAATGTATGCGAGGCGGTTGTTATTCGCTATAACAACCGTCTCGCTATATATTATCCTGCTTATTACATATAAATCAACCAAATAAATCAATAATTTGACACAATGTTCACGGGAACCCTTTGGTTGAAGCATTTTTTTTTGCTTTGTCCACTTACACCTGTCTTTGTTGACATCCGCCATGTGTGCGCAAGCAGACTGGCCGGAAATGAACTCGTCCTCTTGCGTGTTGCAACCATAAAAGGGCATCGCAAGTCATTATTTCTTCGGCAAATAACGTTTCCATCAGCTTTTATCGCATTAGCCGTATATCGATCAAGAGAAAATCGATTTTCATGAAATTCATCGAATTTTCATAAGGCGTTTTTCATTCGATATCACTTAATTCGGATAAAAACACGGCTAGTGTTTATAAACTCTATACCGGCTCTGCTTTTGAGGAAGGTGAACCGAACCCTGTTCTAATGTTTACTGTGGGTCACATTAGGACTTGACCTTTGTTTTGTTTTTCCCAAAAGTCCTTTTCTTCTGTGCATTTAAATATTACAGCACTCTCACTCTGTTGGTGATTTCCCACCTTAATCATTTCTGAAACATACATTCCTTTAATTTTCCCTGGCCAACACTTCCCAGCACACACCCAGGTCACGTCTAGACTCTCATTGCGTCTTTAACATGCTCTTGAGCTCCTGATGAAATCTGTATCAGCCCAACTAATGGTCCTCCAGGCAGTGTTGGCCTAAAGCTACTAATGCGCTCTGCAGGAAGCTGCAAGTTTGGGCTGACGCAGCGCCATTTCTCCCCTTCGGGTGCGTTGGCGTTCTCTGGAGGAGGGGACGTTGGTGTTGCAATGTACTTTGTTGTGTTATGGAGGTGATGGTGTGTGTGCTAATGAATTTCGACTCTCTGTGCCAAATGCTGACACTCCCAGCATGCTCAGGGGCCTTTTCTACTTGTTTGTGGGCAGAACAAGAGGAATCACGTTAACTTTCTTTTCTGGGCTGGCTGAGAAGCACAATATTTTTAAGCACTTTTAGCAGGCTGGCTGTGTTACCCCATATCTTCTGTTGCTGCCCAACACTGTACCTATTAAAGGGATTGTTCACCCAAAAATTGAAGTTCTTTTAACATTTACTCAACACAATGCCCTTCCAAATCAGCATGATTTTATTTTTTTGGTCTTCTGTAGAACACAAACGGAGAAATATGTCTCTACTGATGTTGTTTTATACACCGATGGATATGCCAACCTAAAAATCTATAAGACTCACAAAATGTAATCTTGTGTTTATAGACTTTATTTCAGACATTCAATCGAAAACCCATTGACTTGCTAACTCGTTTCCAGGCTTTAGGACTCAATCCTGCAGGTTACGATTCCTTTAATTTGTACACTGTAAAAAAATATTGATGGTTTAACTTAAAAAGTAAGTAACCTGGTTGCCTTAAAATTTTAAGTTGATTGAACTGGAAAAAGTGAGTTAATACAATGAAGGAGATTCATTTAACCATCAGAAACTCAAAATTATATGTTATCGGAACTAAATAAATTATTTAAGTTGATTTGACAAAAGAAAAAAAATGTTGTGATTACAACACTGTAAAAAATATTGTTGGTTTAACTTAAAAAAGTAAGTAACCTGGGTTGCCTTAAAATTTTAAGTTGATTAAACTGGAAAAAGTGAGTTAATACAATGAAGTAGATTCATTTAACTGTCAGAAACTCAAAATAATAAGTTATCTCAACTAAATAAATTATTATAAAGTTGATTTGACAAAAGAAAATATGTTGTGATAACAAATCTTGAAAATATTTTTTACAGTGTAGAAATTGAGAGCAGGATTGAAAGCACGATCTCTAAATTGTAATCCAAATCCTTGTTTTAAGAAAGCCAGGTGCTGTACAGCTGCCATTCGTAATTAATCTCATGCCTGCGAATGTTTCCAGTGTCCAGTGGAGGAGTTTATTACACAATTCATCTTGGTGACTGTGTTGATTTGTGGCTTGCGTGAATTGGGCTACTTGGAAACGCTCTGTTTTTTAATTGGATGAATCTTTACAAAGGACGGAGGACGGTCCTATAGAATGAGTGTAATTGTGTGGTATATTTTCTCCCTAAATCAGAGCAAAGTCAGGACAGTGTTGCCGGCATGTCGGACTCCAGCTCCTTGCAGGATGTGTTCATGGACCCGACCAGCTCTCAGGACAGCAGCCACAAGGTCGATCCCGGGAAGTGTCGTGTTTTCCCGGAAGAATCAAATGCCATTGGAAAAGAGAAACGGGCCACAGGAGAAGACAATATAGGTAATGATCCCGAGACATACTGTACACGCTGCCAAGTTTTTTAAGGTGAATAACAATATTTTTTGTAAATGTAGGGCCATTATATATTCAAATCCAGCAAAAAAAAAAAAAATGTGTTCATAAACATCTGGGTAATTCACATGCCTCTCCATAGAGAGCTGTACATGCCATCTTGTGGTTACACCATGATTCTACGCTTTTTCTCTATACTGTAACCAGATGGTGCTAATTTTCTTCAACATTTTTTTTTTCCTGAAGGCCTAGACTATATTAAACTAAAATACTGCATTAATAATTTAAATATATATATATATATATATGAGTTCAGATGCAAAAGCCTCTAAGTGCCATTTGAAATTTTCTTCTAGAATGATCATTTTTATCAAGCTTGTATATTTAAGTTCAGTGATTTCACTTAAATGGCAATGATAATTACCTATTAATTGTTATTTAAGTGAAATAACTGAACTTAAATATACAAGTTTGATAAAAATCATCATTAAAGAAGAAAATTTCAAATGTCATTTAGAGGCTTTTGCATCTGAACTCTTCAAATATATATTTTTTCATTGAAAAATAGACCATAAATATTGCATAAATATTAATAAATTCAATCAAATTGTCTCAAAATACTAAATTTAAAAGAATAAATATTATAGAAGAAAAATAAATTGCATTGGTTTTACTGGGATGGAGGAAATTTCATTTTTAGGCCTCTGGCCAGGACGTGACTCATAAAGGAAGACCATCAGAGGGTTAAAACATTTTTTTTTTTCTCGAGTGGTTCACATTTTGTCACCTTTTTCACCCCTGATGACTTTACACCCCCGTTTCACTGAAATATGTTTGATTTTGGGGAAATTCACTGTTTTGATAACAGTAGTGTTTATTTATTGTAAATGTAGGGCCCTATGAAATCCGTTTTTTATTTTTCGCCAAATTCCATTAAAATTTTTGGGGAATTAATTGGTTTTTTTTTTTACCCTTGACTGTTATTTTAGTTGTAAAAAAAGTTTGCTTTTAAGGTTAATGATAAAAATGTATACAAATAAAATAGGAATGACCTTAAATTTATTTTGTTAACAGACATTTACTCAGTAGCCTTTTCAGGACAAATACAGCATGATGCAACATAACACTGCACTCTTCAAGTAACAACAAAATATGCTTGTAAGCTTTAAACTGTCCAGTAAAATAAATGATATTAGTTAAATTATATAAGTTTAAATAAAGTCACACTCTGTCTCTCTCTCGCCTAGTGTTGCTCACGGAGTTCGCTTCGCTTTTATCCAGTCTTGAAAGTTTTCATAAGATTCAGCCTATACACGATAGATTCTCTTTCCCTAATCGGTTGCTTTTTACAAGCAAAATGTGCAGCTGGTGGTCACCTCTGCCCTCTTAAAAATCCCACAGGCACCTTGGAGGACAAGAACATGGACATCAGCTCTGCCACACTGTCTCAAGAGTCTTCTGTCACACAAGAGTCCTCAGACACCACCTTATCCATCACCTCCCCTGAGGCCTCGGTCCCGAAGACCCCCACCACAGACACCCCGACCCAAGCTCCCGGTCTGACCCCGCACACCACCCAACCTCACAAACCACACACCTCACACTCCCAGACGGGCTCCTCCGGCGAGGGCAAGCGCAGGCCTGAGCTGCCGCCCCCGTTCGAGGTCATCGAGCTGCCCAAGAGTCTGCCCGCGGGACGGGCAGAGCAGAGGAAAACACTCGTGGACGTGTGTGTGAGGTCTCTGTTCCTGTGTCTGAGTCGCTTCCCACAGCATTACAAGAGTCTGTACCGTCTGGCCCACCTGTACGCCTACAGCAGGACACACCAGGTGCGCACACACACTTCACACCGCACACCTGTCCTTTACATGAACATATACAGTCAAACCAAAAAATATTCAGACACCTTGCTATCCTCACTTTCAGAAATTAACTAGTAAGTAAAAAATATCCAAAATTATATCTGGTGTCTCAATCATTTTTGGTTTGACTGTAATTTGTTTGTAGCCTGAACTAAATTAGAGAGAATTTTTTTTTTTTTTTTATAAAAAAAATAAACACTATTATATAAAGATTTTTTTTCTTCTATAACCTTATGTTAGAATGAACTGTAAAGCCACATTTTAAAGGTGATATTAAACTTTTTTTTTTTTCTCGAGGGCTTCACATTTTGTCACCTTTTTCACCCCTGATGACTTTACACCCGTATTTTACTGCAAATATGTTGGATTTTGGGGAAATTCACAGTTTTGAATCCAAAATATGAAGGACTACAGTAGTATAACAGTAGTGTTTTACTCCAGATATTTGCAAACTTTTCTGTTCTGTTCTGTCTGTTCGACTGATCCTATCAAGCGTCACGTAATCGAGCACATGAAGCATGATGTAGTCGCACAACGATTATTATTATATCATTCATTTATTATTATACCATAAGGCATTATTTTATAAAACAATATGACATAATAATATTCATGATATATATTAATGCTACAATCTTTTACGCCTCTCATGAGTTAAAAAAAGTTTCGGTAACACTTTATTTTACGGTGTCCGCGATACAGAGTAATTATTTAATTAATTGCTTAGTAGTAGTAGACATTGTAATAACATGTAACAAAATGTAATTAATATGTAACTAAGTTAACAGACTGTACTTGTAATTACAATCATGTAATAGGCAGCTACTGTTACACATGTAACAGTTTGAGTCAGTTACATACGTGTTACTGACAGTGGTGGAATGTAACGAAGTACAAATACTTTACTTAAGTACATTTTTCACGTATCTTTACTTTACTTAAGTAGAATAAATAGTGCATACTTTTTACTTTTACTTTGCAATTATTCTACTTTCTACTCCACTACATTTCTACAACTTCTGTTACATTTTCGTTACATTTTCTGATCAGTTTTTCCCCTGCCAAAACGTAATCTGACCGTCCGTTCGTTGCACGTTTGTCTCACCAGTGACGTTTGGTTGCCATAGATACATCAACTAAATGCGTCTCGCACGCAGTGTGTTTATCATGCAACTCATTCGCGAAAATTTGTTTTTACGTGCATAGGAAACACACCGTGTGTAATATACGTTTGGTTTGGTTAGGATTATGGCAAGCCAAGAGGTTCAGAATTACACCATAAATGAATCGTGTTTACTGCCAATAGTTATTAACATGTAGTAAGGATAAGCATGATATTTCCTAATTGCAAGCTTGTTTCAGAAATGGTGACATTTTTTTCCATCATTATTGAACATCATTATAGGAGTAGGCTATTAGAGTTAGAATTCAATGTTGTATTAATCATTAGAAAATAGACATTAAGAGAATCAATTGTTATGCAAGTACTTTTACTTTTAATACTTAAAGTACATTTAAAATAAAGTACTTTTTACTTAAGTATGGTTGTCATTGTGTTACTTCTACTTTTACTAAAGTAAATATTTATCTGGGTATTTGTACTTATACTTAAGTACTGAGATTCAGTACTTCCTCCACCACTGGTTACTGACTTGGTACAATGTAACAAGTATTTAAATATGTTACTAAGGTAAAAAGCCTGCAGTTACACATGGTCATTTTGTACCTTCTAAAATAAAGTGTATCAAGTACTTCATGAGTATCTACATACCTTATCCATCTGAATTAACCCTCTAGTTCACAGCTTAAGTACATGTAGTAGCTTCTTAATTACATTCAATTTACTAAATATTACGTAAAATAAATTGTATCAAGATTGTACTTACAGTAAGTGTACTTCATGTGTATCTACATACCTTATACACATGAAGTACACTTAAGTACAATCTTGATACACTATTTTAGAAGGTACAAAATGACCGGCTTTTTTCATAGTAACATATTTAAGTACTTGTTACATTGAGTAGTACAAAGTACTTTCTTATATAATTACATTGTAGCAAGTCAGAAACATGAATGTCATCGACTCGGCCTGTGTAACAGTAGCTGCCTATTACATGAGTGTAATTGCAATCTGTAAGTACAGTCTGTTCCATAACTTAGTTACATGTTAATTACATTTTGTTACATGTTATTACATTATGTCTACTACTAAGTAATTAAGTAATTACTCTGTATCACGGACACCGTAAAATAAAAGTTATTAACTAGTTATATAAACGATCAAGGCAATTTTTTTTTTAAATAATCCTAATAAAAATGACAAAAACACAACAAAATGACACACTTTTAACTAAAATTAAAATAAGAAAGTCTTCAAAATATTAACAGAAACTATAAAAGTATTTCAATGATGCTAAACTAACACAAGCTTCCACTTTAGCTCCTGGTTGAAATGTCATTTTCACCACAAAATAAAAAATATAATTTAATGTGAAAAAAAAAAAAAACTGCCTTAAAAAACAAATACCTCTCTGCTGTGTACATACAGATGCACTTTATTCATTTAATATAATAATCATTTATTTCTCATTCTAGGACTTACATAATCGCCTTGGAAACAGGCTTCGTTTTCTCTATGCGCATTATTGATTTCTGTGTGACGTATAAACATGAGGTCAATGAGATTCATCTCATTTAATTCCACTTTACACTAAGGCCATTGGTTTAGTCAATGTTGGGCCTCTCAAAACAACGTTTTCCGTGGCTTATAGTTACACTCATGGTTGTCTCTTCACATAATGCTGGGAATTATTTAGCCAAATGGTTGAGCTTTATGACAACGGTTTACTGCGCAAGAACGCCAGCATCCACTCCAGATATAGGTTTATCTGTAATGTTAATTCAGCCAAGAGGATGATATCATATTCCCCAGCAGCAAGCGTGTGTGTGTTTGTGTTTTGAAGCCAGTGCGCAGTAGATGACACAACCCACAGATATTAAGACCGGGTGTTGAAAACTGAGCCCACTCGCCTCATAGGTGCAAAAAGAGCAGTAGAGCCAAGTTTATCTCCATGCCAGAGTGTTGTGTAACACCACTGACCACTAAACAAACCACTTATTCTCTAATGCAGACGCTTCAGTTTGCTTTTGTCTTGTGGTTGAGATGTGGAGTTGATATGTGTGCACACGAGGCCAGTGGGGATTCCCTTACTTCACATATGTGGTCAAGTCATGTAAAACCCCATGCTAAATACATCAACATCCTGCTGAATTTGGCTAGCGGCGTTTGTTAGACACAGCAAGCACTTTAGATGTGATATAGTATGCAATATAGAGGGCATCAGGTGCTCTATCTACTTACTATATATCAAAAAAAAAATTAATTCATTTATTGTAATTCATCTATCTGTTTTGATAATTATAATATGATATATTTGATATATGCCCGGTTTCACAGAGAGAGCTTAGATTGAGCCAGGATATAAATATGCCTTAGAAAAAAAAAAACACATTACTGGTGTGCATCTTGAGAAAAAACAATGACACTGACTTATTTTAAAAGGAAGAAATTGTGCGCGCATCCAAAATACGTTTGGCAGGTGCTCGATCAAATGAAACATCAAATTCAAAATAAACAAGAGTCGGCTCACTGCCACTTCTGCTCCCAAGGGTTTATTAAAATGAAGTGTAAACATCACACCTGACCCCATTAGTGAACTAATTACCTAATCATCCAATGCAGTAACGACCTAATCAAACACAAATGTAATCACTAAAAAATTCACAACAAAAAATATTCACAAGAAAAAAAAAATTTCAAATCAAACTCCATATTGAAAGCTTTTGGAGAAAGAGTATTAAGTGTAAGTATGTAAACGGCAGAACTGTTGCTTGCCTGACGAAGACCCTTTGGGTGAAATGTTGTTCGTTTTAATAAATCATTGTGAGCAGAACTAACATTTTTTTAAGCCATTTTAGTGCAAGTTGCTCAAACAGCTCAAACATGCATGTTTTAAAGCTCATCTGTGAAACCGGGCGATAAAGTCATATACATTAATTACTTAATAGATTCATATACAATTTTAAATACATTACCATTCAAATGTTTGGGGCCAGTGTGATGATTTTTAAAGCAATGAATTCATTTATTCAGCAAGGATGCATTAAATTGATTTAAAGGGTTAGTTCACCCAAAAATGAAAATTCTGTCAGTATTTACTCACCCTCATGTTGTTCCAACCCCGTAAGACCTTCGTTCATCTTCGGCACACAAATTAAGATATTTAAGATATTAAGATCGCTCCTGCATACAGTCCATAGGCTTCTTGGCCTCGAAAAGTCATTAAAGACATCGTTAAAATAGTCCAAGTGACTACAGGGGCTCAATTTTAACTTTATCAAACGACGAGAACACTTTTGTGCGCAAAAAAACAACAAAAATAACGACTTTATTTCAACTATTTGTTTATTTTTTTCCCTCTGCGCGAGTCAGGTTACTAGTTTAATAGCGTAAGCTTCTGTTATTGTACGTCACACGCATCACACACACATGACCAGCGTCGGCCAATAGTGAGCCTACGTGTGACGTAGCTCTACGCAATCACACTACGTTAACTGGCTCATGGAGAAGGAAGTGAATAGTTGAAATAAAGTCGTTATTTTTGTTGTTTTTTGCACATAAAAGTGTTCTCGTCATTTGATAAAGTTAAGATTGAGCCCCTGTAGTCACTTGGACTATTTTAACGATGTCTTTGATGACTTTTCGATGCCAGCAAGTGTCATTCCCTCAGGACGCCTATGGACTAGTATATAGGAGTGATCTTAATATCTTAAATATCTTAATTTGTGTTGTGAAGATGAACGAAGGTCTTACGGGGTTGGAACAACATGAGGGCGAGTGAATACTCACAGAATTTTCATTTTTGGGTGAACTAACCCTTTAATAGTTACAGTAAAGACATTTATAATGTTACAATAAAAAATGCTGTTCTTTTGAACTTTTTATTCATCAAAGAATCCTGAAAAATTGTATCACGTTTTCCACACTGATAATAATCAGAAATGTAATCATATAATCAAATAATCATATTAGAGTGATTTCTGAAGGATCATGTGACACTGAAGACTGGAGTAATGAAAAAAAAAAAAAACACACAACAAAGGAAACTCTGTAACTGTGTGAATTAAGCGAACAAGTGTGTTATTGAGCTTTTGAAATCTCTTAGCTGTCCAACAGAAAAAAAAAAACATCTCTGCATCCCTTTTGAACCCTGCCGATGTTTATCCTTGTTTTTGCGTGGCCCGGTCCCAGTCTCTTTTTTTTCTCTACCCACTCTGAAGTCTGAAATCTTTTGGGTTTTACAACAGGTGAATCTCCAGTTGTCACTGGTGATTGTCGTTTAAACCTTTCTGGATCCGCCATAAGTTTAATTATTTAAAGTGCTGTGAGAAAAGGCTATACATTTCCACCCCCAACATCCTCACACGCAATATAGCCGACTACCCGGGACTCCTTTATGCGCGCAGATGTGACGTAATGACACAAAGACATGCTCGAATTTCCCGTGGAAATCCACCAGTACCAATGGGATTAAAATCATTATTACAAGCTTACCGTTTTGAATCGACCGAAGGCAAGCAGAGAGTTTTGAACACTGGCTGGTTGTTTTTTATTTATTTATTTTTTATTATTATTATTATTATTATGGATAATTTTTAACCCGAAAAAGTTATGGCTTTAAATGGTAATAATATTTCACAATATTAGTGTTTTTACTGTAATTTTACTAATCTATTTATTTAATAACGAAATAAACTGTCAGAATAAACAGATGACTTAAAATGAATCAATCAAGCCATCTCTATTAGATAATTAATCTTCTTAATTAACTCTATTAGTGTCAGTTTAAGAACAGTTTGACCCTCACTGAATTGACATGGTTGACATCAAAATGAAACGTCACCTCGTCTTCATCTTTTACCCAGACTCTTGACTACCAATGAAAACTAGCCTTCGGGATAATTTGAGTACATTTACATTCATGAATTTTGATTTAATGTACACTGTCCCCTTTTCGAAATAAATAAAAAATAATTAAACTCCGTGTGGCGACACGTGTGGAATTTTCCTTAAGCCACATAGATAAAATAGTGGAGCAAAATTATGATTTATGTTGATGATTAAGTGTTTGAGACTGACTCATGATGATGCAAGTGACACGCCGACCTGCAGTGTTTGTCACTAATATGCAAGAAAAAATGCTTTTTTCACAATGACATTTCTTGATGACAATAATGCAGACTTCTGTTTCATGGCCAGTATGAAATATGTGGTTGTAAATTAAACATTTCTGCTACATGGAAGAAAGAAATATTGAAAGTATGGGTTTGGAGCCACTATATCTTGTCATCTCTCTCTCTCTTTCCATTGCATGTGTATTTGTGCTCTTTGCTGACATTTTTCCCAACCAAAAGGACTCGCATATATCATCTCCATTCCTTCACAATGAGAAATCTCTCTGATGTTTATGTAGAGATTGTTTAGCTCTGAAATGTAATCGGCCCGCCATGACAAGCCAGAGATTTCATAACCGCAACCACGATGCGTTTAATCACGTCCAGCACGGTGAAAGCGTGGAAATTTAGCTCTCAGATTTAATGAATGGCCCCCGTTTGTACAGTGTGTGACACACAGCGAGAGAAACACGTGTGTCTGTATCCTAATAAAGAAGTCAGACTGCAGCGCTATGATGTTATGTGTTCATTAACAGTGAATTAGCGGTGTGGAAATGGATTTGATGGGATGATACAGTGTAATTATATTGGAGTGTCACGAGAGCTTTGATTAGCTTTCAGTCTTTGCCGTCTAATGGGAGCTGTTTGTTTACATTTTAAAGTCGTTTCTTGTGTTTTTCTGGTTTTGGTCAAGCATACTACAATATATCAACAAAATGCTAAAATAATTTTGAACCTTGTTTTTTTCAATGGTCAGATTCGTCACTTAAATATATGCAAATTAGTGCATATTTAATTAGATAGAGTCTGATTAGAATATTTAAACATAAAATTGCTGAAAACTTGCGATACATTTTTTTCTCGTATTCATGTGAGTAATCAACTGGTAAAGTTTCATGGTGATATCTGTAAGTTAAAATTTTTACCCTATTCACTTGTAGTGGTGTCTCACCCTTTAGTGTCACGGGCCCACCGGTGGGCCCAAATTACAAAAACAGTATTATCCTATACTAAACCTAAACTAATCTTGACAAACTATATATCATTTGAAAGCTTAGAATCTCTTGTTTTCATATTTGATTGATTTTCAAAATATATTACAGAGGAGCCATAATTTATCAATTTGCAACAAGAATATTTTCATAGTCTAAGGCGTGTTTGTACCTTTATTTTGAAATTGTGATGAACATGAAAAATCATGAAAGAAGGGTAGAAACCTGTTTGTTTTCATGCCAAGAGCCTCCATTCAATTATTTTATAATAATTGTTATTTCATATGGAAATGGAGGCGCCCTTATATGGGCAGTAATGGAGTCTGGTTGTGCCCTAGTGAAAAAGTTTGGTACTGCGTGCAAACAAAATCTCACTGAAAGCTCATTTTTTGAGATATCAACCTAAAATTTGAAACACAACTTATTCAGATTTTTGGCTCTGATTTTTTTTTTTTTTTTTTTTTTTTGCAGTTTTAGAGTCGCCCAGGTTTTGAAAATATATATTTTATATAAAATATGAATAAATGAAATTTTTTATATTGTACATTTTCATAAACTCAAACTTCTATAACTTTTTTCTGTTTCACATTCTTCATTTATTTCACTTCTAAAAAAATCTGCCAAATGTCTTCTTTAAAACGAGACCATTCTTACGTCTATATTCCAAAGCATTCTTAAATTACAACCATTTAAGTTCGAAATGTGCATTTTCATCTATATTCAAAAAAGGGGGGGTGACACTTAAGGGGTTAAAGTGCCAATTGGTGGCCATCTTGAATTTGAAGGTCAAAAATAGGTAAGATCAATAAATCTACATAATTTATGAATTTCTTGACCCAAATAGTCTCAGAAACCATGTATTATGCAGCACTGTGGGCAAAACCATTAAAAAGTTAACTTCCAGGTTGGCCGACAGCAGCCATTTTGGATATCGGGCTCTCGGTTTTTGTGAGGGGCACCCCGGCTCATTTTTTTCTTTAACCTTTATAGATGACCAATCCAGTGAGAAACGAACCTTTGATCTTCACGGTCACGGAACTGCTATATATGACCCAACTATTATTGCGAGAGGAAAAATGTACGTGTTAGTCTCATAACATCGGTTGATGGAAACGCCGTCATTTAGAAAATACCGCAAACGTTTTGCGAAAAATTGCATTGAAACGCGACTACTGCTTAATGACACTTTCGCGTAATACAGTGTTTATCACCTAATGCAATATACAGTATATATTATCACTGGATACACAGCATTCAAGCTTTTTAATTGAAATGTTTAAAGGAGAACTCCTGCGCAAAACGAACCTTTGGTCTAATTACACATTGTTACCTAGTCAACCGTTATCTGAGATTTGTTTTCATGATTGCCGAATGTAAATAGTTTTATCTCTAAAAACAGTTTAGCCTATAACACTAGTATAATGCTAGTATAGGGCATAGAGTAATGACAAATAAAAATCGCTTGTTATTACCACTAACAAGGCTCAAAATACCCCCACAGTAACACGACAGCATAATAAGGGTCCCTACATTCAAACCGAAGCATTGAGAACTTTGTCAGTGTCCAAACAGTTTAATAAGAAGATATTTTATACTCACAGTCAACTTCGCGAATACAGGAAGAGCCATCTTTGAAAAATAGTCTCTACCAGTCGATCTACGAACGCCGATCCAAGTGCGCTGGTGAGATGTGAATAAGGTGATAAAGTGAGCGCGAACAGTAGGCTACGTGTACATATTGAAGAGAAGAAAACGGTTCATGTTTGTGTTTCTTCCGGAAACAACGGACCATATGAGATTCTGCACGGTTCAGCGCACTTGGATCGGCGTTCGTAGATCGACTGGTAGAGACTATTTTTCCAAGATGGCTTCTTCCTGTATTCGCGAAGTTGACTGTGTGTATAAAATATCTTCTTATTAAACTGTTTGGACACTGACAAAGTTCTCAATGCTTCGGTTTGAATGTAGGGACCCTTATTATGCTGTCGTGTTAGTGTTGGGCTATTTTGAGCCTTGTTAGTGGTAATAAAAAGCGATTTTTATTAGTCATTACTCTATGCCCCATATACTAGCGTCATAGGCTAAACTGTTTTTAGAGATAAAACTATTTACATTCGGCAATCATGAAAACAAATCTCAGATAACGGTTGACTAGGTAACAATGTGTAATTAGACCAAAGTTCTCCTTTAACTTTAACCCACCGCATACTATTTTTTAAATAGTATATACTTGCGCAGTTAAGCAGGACTCTAGTATTGTACGAGAGCGAAGCATGCAGGTTTTCCCCGCTCAAGTCATCATCACACACACACTCTCGCCTTCCTGCACACAGAACTGACTGAATATATTTGTGTTTTCGCAGAACCTGCAATGGGCACGAGATGTGTTGCTAGGGAGCAGTGTCCCATGGCAACAGCTGAAGCACATGCCGGCACAAGGACTTTTCTGCGAGAGGAACAAGACCAATCTGTTCAACGTAAGTCTCACACACACACATGCAGACGCACTTGCATGTCAAAGTTCCCCATATCGTGACACATTGGGTTTCCAGCGGCAGCATGATCCAGTGTGAAGACATTAATGATGTTCTGTTCATACACGTGTGTGTGTGTGTGTGTGTGATTCAGTGCAGTGAAATCCCTCCACACACAGACACACACTCTCACACATAAATCCAGAGAGATTACGACTCCGCACTGAAAATGCCCCAAACTGGCTGGATTTACAGTCCTCACTGCGCACCATGAGGCAGACAGATGGCATCACTATGGTGTGTGTTCATATGTTGTTGCTGTGTTTCCCAGTGGCCTTTTGGCGCAGTCGTACCTAAGGCCATGGATTAGTGTGTGTGTACCTTTGGCTGTGGATGCGTTCGCTGTGAGGAACAGCCTGTGGGTTGGCACACGGCGGTATAAAAACACTTGTGCGTCTCGTCTCGCTGGGCTTCAGAGCTTTGCCCACTAGGATACGCCAACCTCATGCCCACCTGTCCTCCGCTTATGGGAAAATCCTCATGCGCACACATACAGCATCCGGTGCGGGGCTCATGAAAGCTTCTGAAGAGCTTTTGCACTGAAGTGTAGTGGCTGTTTTTTAAGGTTGTTTCTAGAGTTGTGGTACCCAGACCCAGGGGCTGTCGGAATTACGCACCGTTTCAAAATATTGGTATTAAATCGATTTTCTGAGAATTTATCAGTCAACTTGTTGATTAAAACGATTGATTAAAATGAAATACAATTTATAAAATCGAAATTCTTTTAAAAAACATAATAAGTCAGAATTACTGTGGGCTATGTGTGACCCATTCCAAATGTTTTCCGATATGGTGACTACTGATGGTCCGCTCCTTGATCCATCAGTGCTTGAGTCACCATATATCGGAAAATAAAACGTTTTAAACATGAATAAAACACATCCTGTTAAGCAGAGCATTAATTTAGTTCGTTTAAATAAGAGATCTAGCGCTAAAATGTTTTGTTTTTGAAATCAAGAGGAACGCTTGTTGCCGCTGCTGTCAGTTGTAGGCTATGTTCTCTGTGGCGCGCAGTCTTCACTCGGACGCGCACTTTAATCGCCTTTACGTCGGAGACTCTATTCATTCCGGTAAAAATCACAAAATAAATGTGTCCTATGCTTGATATTGACTGTAACCACAGATGGACATATTCTGTTTTGATGAGAGAGAAAAAAACTGTACCTAGGGCGGATTAGAATCCGTAACCTCTGGCACTCTGGGCAAAAGAGCTACCACTAGACCATTCAAACGGTCAAATGAGGTCTGGCGGATCGACGTATTTATTTATGGGTTGAATTGAAAGGCTGCACAGTTTGACAAGTTTGTTCCCAGCACTTCCGAATGTGTATCTGTGCCCAGCAAATTTCAAACTGACGCCCGTGCTTAGGTGAATTTAGGGGGCGGCCGAAGGAGGGGGCCGCCCCTCCCGCCCCCCCCTGTTCCAACGTCTATGCCCAGACCTGTTTACAGCTGGTATTAAGATGTGTTTTGGTCAATCGGATCACAAGTAGACGAGACAAACACTTTCCCGTTTACACCTGGTGTTTTAATCCGTCTCTTCTGTCCACTTTCAAACACTTCTGTCCTGATTTCTTGGAGAGGAGGGTCTATGGGCGGGTAAATGATCGTCTTAATCCAGTGTTTCTCAAACTTTTTCTGCCATTCCCCACTTTGAAGGTAGGGAAGGGTTCGTGCCCCACCTGCCCCCCATGACATTGCAAAAAATGTTAATAAACTATGCTTTAGATAAAATATATTTTATAAACATGACATTTTAAAAGCAAAAAAAAACTCGACAGTAGATAAAAATAAAAATGCAATTGTGTTTGTATTTTGCCTCTGATAACACCAATTATTCGCATTTTAGGTATTTTTATAATTGTATTTTGTATTTTTCAAAGACTATCATATAAGCCACTGTGTTTCCCTCAGTATTTTATGTGTAGTGTGGACCATCTGCACCTCTACAGGGGTCCGGGAAGAAAAGTTTGTACATTTTAAAGATAAATTCGTAAATCTGGCGCTCTTTGAAAGTTCAAAATTAAGCGATTAACTAATTTAGTGTCTGCAATAAGCCTGGTTTGTAGTAGGCTACACATATTTTCTGAGCCAGAGACAGAGAGTGCTCACCGCTTGACATCACAACTATTCATTGTTTTCAACCACATAGTATTTATTTTAGGTTTCAGACATTTAAATTCACATAAGTTACTAAAAAAGCAATACATTTAGAGTTTGTCAAATACACACTTATGTCCATGAAAGCGGAAATAATAATTATTTCCATTATAATTAGACAACACGTATTATTCATATCGTGTAAGTAACTTTCAGGTTTACTCTATGCTTCTCCCAGTTTACCGGCCACTTACTTTCATGTATTTCGGGAGAAGTGGATAAATTGATGTTTGTTAAATCCAACAGATCCGATTCTCTAAAATGCGGTATAAACTAACACCCATCGCGTATAGCTCAACTAAGGTGTTTAACAACAAAACACATCCACCTGCTCATATTTGACAATCAGAATATCAGATATTTCCTGCGATAGTCAACAAATTTGTGAAATAAACGCAGATAATCAGTGATTCAGCGCTATCGGTGTGACGAGCAATGACGCGTCACCATGGAAACCATAAAGGGAGACGATTTAAATAACGGGCGCCTCTAAAAAACGTTTAATCTTACGTGTGAAAAGGTTAAGTAAGGCTTACATTTAATTGTGTCGTCGTTTTGTTTTGAGTTTATGCTCAATAAATAAAGGAGTTAATATAGATGAGCACAAAATTACCACATTTTCTCCCGTTTGTCGCGCCCCACCTGTCATGTTTTATGTTCTCCACCACTTTGAGAAACGCTGTATTAATCTAATGGAGGGTTTCCCAAAGCATGGTACGTGCACCCCCAGGGGTACGCAAGCTGCCACCTATGGAAGCACCTGGGTAGCAATATTCAATTTGAAATGTAATATGCAAAGTGACAATGCAATATGTAAAATGGCATTGCATTCTGTAATAGGGGTGGGCGATATGGCAAAAATATCATATCACGATTTTTTTAGGAAAATCACGATCACGATTTTTTAGCACGATTCTTTTTCAAGTTGGTTCATTTTGCAAGTGGCTGTTCATCACAGCCAAACTAATGTCCCTATGTTAAAAACAAAGCCTTAGGTAACAAAAGAAAAAAGAAAGGCACACATTTAGGCCAGTGGCGAAGATAAAAATCTTTGTCATTATTTTCTTTGTTATAAAAAAATAAGACAAGATAAACATTACACAGATTAATATTCAAATTAAATAAACAGTGCTTTATTTTTTTTTAGGTACAGTAGGTGTATTTAGCAGTAGCATTGAAGAAAGTAATTAAATGAACAAATATGAAATTAAAACACTACATAGACTTCACTGAATAAATTGATTCTTATTAAAGCTATATTAAAGTTCTCAGTCAGTGAGTGATTTTTCTCCTTGTGTTTTTTGTTTTGTTTTATTAACACTAAAGGGATAGTTCCCTCAAAAATGAAAATTGTCTTAATTTACTCTCTCAAGATGTTTCAAACCCGAATAAATGTCTTTCTTCTGTTGAAAATTAAAGTTATTTTGAATAATGTGGGTAACCGAACAGTTGCTGGTCCCCAGTGTATAGTTGTTTTTTTCTCTCTCCTGGATGTTAATTTGGTTACCCACATTAAAAAAAAAAAAAACACTTCTTTTGTGTTCAGCACAAGAAAGAATTTAATACAGGTTTGGATTGGAACAACTTTTGAGTGAGTAAATAAAGACAGAAGAAAGTCTTTTTTATTTTTTTTGGTGAACTATCCCTTTAAGGACAAGCGGCAGTAGCCTACTATTTACTACTGTCGCTTTTAGACCAGCATGCGACGCGTTTAATATAGACGCATATTACACCAGATTTTCTCTCAAATGTTTGCTTTCACTTTAGACATATCTGTTTATGTAAGCATTGTGTGTATTTAACAGTATTAGCCATAGCATAATACGACTGAAAGATAACTTAGTCCAGTATTCAGGCGCTGTTTGACAGGCTTCTGGTGCCTGTGAGTGTCGTGGGTAAGTTATGCGGTCAGGAAATTAAAAATCGTCATATCGCACACCCTTATTCTGTATTTAAATTTACATTTTACATTACCATTCTTTGCAACGTTTGGTGCAAAATGAAAATGAAATTACATAATTTACATTTGCCATTTCACACACTAGTTTTAATATGCATATAGAAACGCTTTATAAGTGGCAAAATTAAAATGCATTACAGAAATGATTAGATATGTTTAATGATTAGAAATATTACCGTTTCTGTGTTCACGCTCCACTTAAAACAAAGTTGCGATTGCAAGATGAGGCTATATTTCGAGATACAGATTTTCAGTTGCGAGAATTAAAGCTTTAATAGTCACTCAGTTACCATTTTTTTTTATAAATGTATCTCTTTAAAGGTTTATATCCTAATTAATTATGATTAGAATAAAGTGAAAGTCTGAGACCAAAAAAATGAACATTATTTCAATGAAAAAGATTGCATTTATTTTCTTAGTTTTGTCTATGCACACGTTCTAGATAGTTATTAAAGACAGTGACGTTGCTGTATTGCTGTATGGGAAAAATGTAAAATGTAAATTATGACCTGCAGAAAAACCTCTCGGCCGTGTTCAGCCACACAATCACACTGTCAAAGCCACATCTGGATTCATAAAACTATATTTGTATTACCTTCTAGAAGGATTTCATATCGAACAAAGCTTCGAAAGCTTCCCCAGATGAGTTTAGTTTACATAGAAATGGTAATTGATAATTCAATTAATTGTTGAATATTTTCATTATTGATTCATTTTGCAGTCTTAAGTAATTATGTTTTTGCTTTGCTCTGTTGCGGAAGGCTTGTGAAATAGAGGGAGTAGAGCGAGGGAGAGTCCTCGTGTGTGTGATATGGGTCAGGCT